AGGGATCACATGGACTCCAGTTGTAGCTCACAGGCTCAGTGGTTGTGACTCAGGGGGCTTAGTTGCTTCAAGGCTTGTGGGACCTTAGTTCTCCAACCAGCGATTAAACCTGAGTCCCCTGCATTGCAAGGCAGATTCTTAACCACTGCACCACCAGGGAAGTCCACATAGGTAGTCTTAAGAAATGTTTATTGAATGATTAGCATTCTGCCCAGTTTTGTGAAAAATGAAAGTGTTAGTCACTCAATTGTGTCTGACTCTGTTGTGACCCCATGGACTGTAGCCAAGGCGCCTCTGTCCATGGAATTCTCCAGGCAAGAATACCGGAATGGGTTGCCACTCCCTTCTCCAGGGCATCTTCTTGACCCAGAGATTGAACTCTCATATCCCACATTATTTCTGGCAGATTCTTTACCATCTGAGCCACCAGGGGTCCCCAATTTTGCCAGACCCCAAACCAGCCCTCATCAAATGGGTGGAGCAGGAGACCCAGCTGTGGGGTACAGATACTCAGGATTCCCAGGAGTAGGAAGTCTGAAAGAAAGCCAGAAAGATGAAAAGTAGAAGCGATGTCCCAGTGCCAGCTGGAAGGGAAAAACGTTTGTTGAGTAAGAAACACCGTCTGCATGTTCTCTACCACTGACATTACTAGTTTTTGCTGATCTGAATTTATGACACCCACTGGAGATTGCAATCTTGACCTTCTCTTTCTCACTTAATTGGCTCTGAGGCATCCAAGTAGTCCCATGATTAGGTCATACTTTATGAATCATCCAAAGGTCAGTGGCCATGTGTGAATTCAAGTTTAGGAGGGAGGCAGTTTGAGACTTCCCTGGCAGTTCTGTGGTTAAGATTTCATGCTCCCAAAGCATGTCCCACAGCATGGCCAAAAAATAAAAGTTTAGGATGGAGGCAGTTTATCTGTCTCTCAGGTCCCTGGGCCCTATAACAGCTGCTCCTCTGGTTGAGATTATCTCCTCTGTTGACCCTGGAGTGGGTGGGAATGTCCCTGACCTGCAAGCCCTCAACTGGCCAACACAGTCTAGAAGGGGGCTTCCAGGGCCTGGGTACCCACTGAATGCTTCTGTCTTCGTGAAGTTTGATTCTATCAGCCTGAACATTAGTAGGCCTTGGAGAGTTCACAGGGAAAAATGTAAGTTTTGAATCTGTTTCCCAGCACTCATTCAGAAAAGTGATACATTTGGAAGGGGTCAGCAGAAGGAGTCTATCTGGGAGATGTCATGAGGCCCTGGAGTCAGAGACACTGATGTGGTCTTTGAGCCTGTGGCCAAGGCTTCCGTAGTCGGGGTTTTCCCAGGCCCTCAGCCTGTGCCCAGCTTCAACACCTGGCACTGAGGATTTACCTTCATCCCCATCTGGAATGCAATTATGCTTTACCTTTACCTTCAACTTGGCCCAGTGCACTCTTTTTTTTTTTTTTTTAATATTTATTTTATTTGGCCGCGCCAGGTCTCAGTTGTGGCATGTGAACTCTTCGTTGCAGCACGTAGGATCTAGTTCCCTGACCAAGGATTGAACCCAGATCCCCTGTAGTGGAAGCATGGAGTCCCAACCACTGGACCACCAGGGGAGTCTGGGCCCAGTGCATTCTGGAGAGGACCCTTCACCTAGTGCCATACTTCTCAAGCTATTTGCTGACTCACTACTGTCCCCACAGTGGAAGGTGCTGCAGCCAGAGGCCACTAGGAGACCCACCAGCCTGGTGCCATGGCCCTTAGGGTCCCATCTAGGGGAGCAGACTCTGCCCTAGGCTCTTCTCCAGGAGGGTCCAGACCCCCCTGCAAGTTTCCAGCACTACCCAGGACTCTCTTCCAGGTCTATGTGTGATGGGGATGGGCACTGACAGGTGACCAAAAGCCTTCACTCTTAATGGAAATTTTCTATTGTCTTTTTTGTCTTTCCGGGGGCCTGAGAGGTGAGGAGGACTAGGGTCCCTAGGCAACTCTGTGCCCTTAGTCCTTGTCCTCTACTAGCCACCCTCCAACAAGCCTCTCTCTTTGGCCAGGCTGACCCCTCCCAAGTTTATATCTTCCCCTTTTCTTCTGTTGAGATGATGATGATGATGATGATGATGATTTGGCTGTGCTGAGTCTTAATCGCAGCACGCAGGATCTTTGATCTTCATTAGCAAGTGGGATCTTTAGTTGTGGCACGAAAATTTAGTTGCAGCCTGTGGGATCTAGTTCACTGATCAGGGATCAAATCGGGTCCCCCTGTACTGGAAGTGCAGAGTCTTAGCCACTGGGTCACCAGAGAAGTTCAGAGATCAGTTCTTTACTTGCCCAGCTTCCCTGGGGAGAAGCAGCCACCAGATACAAGGAGCCTGTGAAGGTCTCAGGGATGCCTTTGGAAGGAAGGAGGCAAACAGACCAAAGCTCCAGAGTAGCCCGCAGACCAGCAAATGCGAAGCACATGTCCATGAAGTGTGTAAAATGCAGTGATTGATTTATCTGGCCAAAGGAAAAATATCAAGGCTTCTTAGGGCAGGGTATATTTATGAAGGCGTGTGGGAAGCACTGAGTAGGCAATCAATAAATGTGTCCAGTGAGAGAAAGAGCTTGGAGGTAAAAATGATGAAGAGAGTTGGTGCCATTTGCTAAGACAAGACCCCAGGGGCGGCAGGCAGAGGCGGGGGAAAAGGATGAGTTCAGCTTGAGCCTGCAAAATCCGAGGTGTTCATGGGCCATCCATCCCAGGGCACGGTGGCAAGTGGCTCTGGGACCAGGAATTCAAGGAACTCGCCTTGAGCTAAAGCTAAATGAATGTTCTGGAGGCGTCCTGAAGGGTATGTGGGGAGGGGGTAAGCTTACAGAAAGGGGGTCCTTCCCACCTTTCTCAGACCTCATCCTACCCTCCCCCGGCTGCCCGCACGATCTCCTGAAACTGAAGTTCCCAGAATTTCAATAGCTCGATCAAGTTTCTTTCACCCGCTCCATTCTTTTACCCTCAACACTGGGGGAAGCGTGCGGTCACCCAGCGATGGGCCAGCCACGAAACCTAACGTCTGAAATCACCGCGCGGCGCGGGTCCAGGGTCGGGGCTGGAGGTCGCTGCTCCAAGCCTGGACCGGGCCGCGGCGAGGCCTCCAGCGCGGCGGGCGCGGGGACCCGGAGGGGAAGCCCGGCCGCCGCGCCTCCGAGGCCTGGCGCCGCGCTCTAGAGAACGCCGCCCCCGCCCCCCCGCCCGGGCCGGTGGCGGCGCCTTCCCGGGCGCCTGTAGCCGCCGCGGCCATGTTGGCTGAGGGCTCGAAGACAAAGCCACCTGGAGACAGCCGGATGGCGTCATCCGGGCACGATGGCGCGGGAGCGAAATGCGTGGGTCCGCGTGGCCGCCATCTCTTAGGAGAGCGCCTTCAGCCACCTGCCCTCAGTGTTCAGCCACCCCTGTGGACCCTTGAGGGGCCGTTCCTGCTCTCCAGGCCTCCCGACCGCGCCCCGACTCTTGACCCCGGCCGGGGAGCGTTCTGGATCTCCGAGGCTCCGCGGACCCCGGCGGGTAGGGGTGGCGCCGGCCCGTCGCCGGGGTGGCATTTACAATGGCGCCGCCCCCGGCCCCGCTCCCCGCGCGGGAACCTAACGAGGTCGGGCCCCAGGGGGGTACATCCGAGCCCGTGAGCTTCGCGGACGTGGCCGTGTACTTCTCCCCGGAGGAGTGGGCGTGTCTGCGGCCTGCGCAGAGGGCCCTGTACCGGGACGTGATGCGGGAGACCTATGGCCACCTGGGCGCGCTCGGTGAGGCCCCACCTGCTCGCCTGTGCTCACACCCCAGTCCACCCCGCCCAGCCTCTGGATCCTGCACGTGGAATGGGAGGCCCCAGGAAGCCGGGACCGTGGGCGGCGGCCTCCCCCGCAGCGTGGGCTTTGCGTTCTCTCCCCCTTCCCTCCAGGCTTCCGAGGCACCAAGCCAGCCCTCATCTCCTGGGTGGAGGAAGAGGCAGAACTGTGGGGTCCAGATGCCGCGCCGCCTGAGATGGGAGAGTGTCTTGCAGAAGCAGACACAGGTGAAGCAGTGGGGACTTTGTCCCCTGGGGACTTCCTCTGGGTCCTACCCATCATGTTACCCTCTGCTAACTCCTTACCTGCTCATCAGTTTCCTGCCTGAATTGCTTTCCCAGCTAAGGTTATTATTATGCCTGATCCCTGCCTAGCTTCTGGATTCAGCCTAGAAAGGGCCCGAGAGTGTGACCCAGGCATCCCTGCCTCTCCACTCCCCAGCTCCTCCAAACCTGAGCCTCTGACCTCTAGCTGGTCTCTAAGTTCCTCTGAGCGCCACATCACCCCACCTGCTGTTTGCCTGTTCTCTAGCTCGTTCACCACCTCCTGTGTTCACTTTGTTTTTGTTATATTTTTATCACAGCCTCCTTTCTCTTGGCTGGTACTGTTTTGTTCCTCTGGTTCATCCTGTCCTGTTGCACTTGTGCCCAGCCCCTGTGAACTTGGCAGTGCCCGCCCCCTTCATGCCTCTCTGTGCTGTTCCTGCTGCTGGCTGCATACTTACATCCACTAATGCTCTGATCCAGCTTAATTGTCGTCCCCCCAACCCCCATTTCCCCAGCCCCCAGAATGTACCGTGCCCCTGTCCTTCCTTCTCTCTTTGTCTCTACAAGTTTTTCTTTCTGTCCCCTGCGACTGAGGGTAAAGTGTAACTTCTAACTTCCCTGGCCTGTACCGAGCTGAGTCCCAGAGGCAGCTGTATCTAAGAGGCTTCTCTGTCCCCATAGTGCGTGTGGGCATCAAGGACCAGGATAAGCTGAGGTCTGAGCTCTCCCCTTGTCTCCCAGCAGGCTCCAGAAACCAGGCAGAAAAAGGACAGAGACGAGGGAGGGAGGCACTGGGGAAGATCCTTTCTGTGGACGCTCAGCTTCCCGGGCTGATGGCTCTCAAACCCCTCTCTGCTGGCTTTCCTTACGGTTGCCAGCAGCCACCGAAGGTGCCTCGCCGGGGTCGCCCGCCACTCTCTGCCCACCCCCCGGTCCCCAGAGCCGACCGGCGGCATGGCTGCTACGTGTGCGGGAAGAGTTTCGCCTGGCGCTCCACCCTGGTGGAGCATCTCTACACCCACACGGGCGAGAAGCCCTTCGGCTGCCCGGACTGTGGCAAGGGCTTCAGCCAGGCGTCCTCGCTGAGCAAGCACCGGGCCATCCACCGTGGGGAACGGCCCCACCGCTGCCCGGACTGCGGCCGGGCCTTCACGCAGCGCTCGGCGCTCACCACCCACCTGCGGGTCCACACGGGCGAGAAGCCCTACCGCTGCGCCGACTGCGGCCGCTGCTTCAGCCAGAGCTCCGCCCTCTACCAGCACCAGCGGGTCCACAGCGGGGAGACCCCCTTCCCCTGCCCGGACTGTGGCCGCGCCTTCGCCCACGCCTCCGACCTCCGGCGCCACGTGCGCACCCACACCGGCGAGAAGCCCTACGCGTGCCCAGACTGCGGGCGCTGCTTCCGGCAGAGCTCGGAGATGGCCGCCCACCGGCGCACCCACAGCGGCGAGCGCCCCTACGCCTGTCCTCAGTGTGGCAGGTGCTTCGGCCAGAAGTCGGCCATGGCCAAGCACCAGTGGGTCCATCGTCCAGGGGCGGGGGTGCGCAGGGGCGGGGGTGCCGCCGGGCTGCCTGTGCCCCTGGCCTCTGCCCGAGGGGACCTGGACCCCCCCGTGGGCTTCCAGCATTACCCAGAGATATTCCAGGAGTGTGGGTGATGGCTTCATGGGTGACAGGGCCAAGGGTGAAGATGTAGACATTGTCTGAGGCCCAAGATGGCCTCAGGGGCCTCAAACTCAGGCAACTCCGGGGAGGTCACAAAATTCCCAGAGGGCACTGGACCTGGGGGTGGGGGGTGAGGACCACTTTATCTTAGGCCTTCATCAGTTTCATCTGCTAGACCTTGTCCTCTATGGTCCCAGACTCAAGAGCCCCCTTTGCTGAGTCAGGTTAGAGGTAAGAACCCCCACTAGACTTCCACTATGGGGAAAGGCTGTTTCTCAGCTTAGGTATAAGAGGATTGAGGTGGAGAATTTTGTTTTATCCACTGACTTGACTGAGAAGTTAAAAACTGATGGCCAGGTACTGAATCTGGTCTCCCAACAGCCTTTTGCAATACATGTATTTTTAGACCAGCCAGCATTTTTAAGTGTTATGAATTATTGGTTAAGGTGTAAAAATCAGGCTATTTCACACAACAAACCAAGTTTCTGGCCTCTTGAAAAAAATCCAAAGATTTGGTGACTTGACCTGAGCTCCCACAAAGCCACAATTGACAGGAGCTGAGAGGCCCCTTTGAATGGAGCCCAGGCTCTTCAGTTCAGCCCACCTGCCAACTCCTTAAGCACCTCCTGACCAGTGTCAGCTGCCACTTGTCATGGCTGTTTCTGGCAAAGCAGGCCCTCTCCATCTGGCATTTTCTACTCATTTACATGACCTGTTGGACTCCTGTAATCATTTTTTAAAAATGTATTTTTAATACATAAAAATATGTATTTATTTTATTTATTTGGCTGGTCTTAGTTGCGGCATGCAGGATCTAGTTCCCCAATCAGGAATCGAACCCGAGCCCACTGCATTGGGAGCACTGAGTCTTAGCCACTGGACCACCAGGGATACCCCTTCCTGTAGTCATTTGAGTTTACAAACTGTAGTCTATGGCATTCAGTTGTTCTTGAATCAGGGATTCGGGTAGAGAGCACATTTGTGAAAGGGTAGCAGGAGAGAAGTAAAAGCAGGCTTTAATTTAGATCTTGGCTCGTATTGCGTTTTATGGTTTACAAAGGACAGTCTTGTCCATCAACTCAATTCACCCTCATAATTGCCTATGGAAGGAAGCATCTGCTTGGAGAGGACAGATCATCAGAAGAGACAGTTAGGACTGAATCTTTTCAATATTTATTTATTTGGCTGCATTGGGTCTAGTTGTGGCACACAAGCTCAGTAATTGTAAGGCGCAGGTTTAGTTGCCCTGTGGTATGTAGGATCTTTGTTCCGAGGCCAGGGATTGAACCTGCATCCTCTCCATTGGAAGATGGATTCTTAACCAATGGACCACCAGGGAAGTTCCAGGACTGAATCTGTTGCCCCAAACAAGTGGTGTCTCCACCTCGGCACCCCTCAGCTGCCCTGCACTTCCTATTTTTGAAGGAGAAGGACCCAAGAGCCCCTGCGATATGTCAGATCTTGTTCCCTTCTTGGGCCTCCCTGGGAGAGCCCTATGGCTTAGGCTTTGCCACTTTAGGCTCAGTTGGGAAGGCCTCATTATATATTTTTTTTAATGGCTTTATTTTATTTAATCTTTTGCTCTATGGCATGTAGGATCTTTATTCCCTGAGCAGGGATCAAACCTGTGCCCCTTGCTTAGGAAGCGCAGAGTCTTTTTTTTTTTTTTTAATATTTATTCATTTATTTGGCTGCACCAGGTCTTAGTTGCAGCATGTGGGATCTAGTTCCCTGACCAGGGATCAAACCTGGGCCCCCTGCATTGGGAGCTCAGAGTCTTAACCACTGGACCACCAGGGAAGTCCCTCATCACATTTTTGAACTGAAAGAGATCTTAGGCTTTCCATCCTTTTGCAGTTGGGGACACAGACTGGGAAAGACTGAGCAACCTGCCCAAGATCTCACACAGGGTGAGAGACACTAGGATTCTTGGTTTCCTTCTGTCTTTACCACACCACTCCTGAGTTCCTTGCCAGTGTCTCAGCCAGGGTTCTGGAGGCATCTCCCAGACAGGGATAGAGAAACCCAGTGTGAGTGAAGCCCAGGTACAGGATGAGTGACAAAGCCAACAAATCAAGGGGAAAACCAGCGTGAGAGGAGAGTTCCAGGGCCAACAAAATCAAAGCTTGCATCTTCACTCTCTAGGATCTCCCATCACCAGCAAAGGGGGACCAGAACAGGAACATCTGGGGTCGGTAGCCAGAGGGAACTGTGCTTGTCTATATTCCCAAGCTCTGCACAGAATCCCTCCCCCATCACCCTGCGACTCCATTATTCATCTACCACTCATTTCTTTGTGGTCAGAGTCCAGCGTTGCCCAGGTGATGGAAGCAGCCAGCCATGGACAGACAGACTTTCCTGCCACTGGTCAGGACAACCTTTCACCTCAAGTAGGATTAGCAAGGGCTTATGTCCTCGGTTGCCTTCTGACAGCTCAGCCCTGTGTCTGGCCTAACTTAGGAAGAAACCAGATTTGTCAACCTAAAGGAACTTCTAAAGGAAAGGTTGAAAATTTGGGGGAAAGACACTGTTTAGGTAAACTGCTGAACTGCCTTGATTCCAACCTAACTGGCTCCACCAAAACCTCTCTTAGCCTTAAGTTCACTTGGAGAATTTGCCAACTGTCACAAGGGAGATGTGGGAGTGAGGAGAGGCACCTTGGCAGTAGTATCTGCCTTTTAATCCCCTAAAGAAGCCATCCTTCTGCCCTTCAGCACTGCCTGAGGAACGCACAGCCTGCAATACCAGTTCTCAGCTCAGCCTCAAAGCCAGATCTAGACCCTGCCCTGAGCTTGCAAATTAAAAGTATTGTAATTACTACTTTCTGTTGAGTACTTTGAAGTTTTCAAGACTTACTTAGGGCCCCCAAACCAAATCCAGCTCCTCTGCTTCCTGCCCTCCTGACCCAACTTTCCTCCACTTAATCAATTTTTGAGTGTCATGGAACATCTAAAGCCTCAGTCTTGCCGCCTTCTTAGCTCCTCACTCCTTGGTATAGATTCTTCCCTGCCAAAGATAGGGCTCCTCTTTAGTTATTGGCTACACTGGGTCTTCACTGCTGTGCATAGGCTTTCTCTAGTTGCAGCAAGTGGGGGCTATTCTCTAGCTGTGGTATATGGGCTTTTCATTTCAGTAGTTTCTCTTGTTGCAGACCATGGGCTCTAGAGCCTGCAGGCTCGGTAGTTGTGGCTCACAGGCTTAGATGCATCTGAGGCACGTGGATCATTCCCAGACCAGGGATTGAACCTAGTCCTCTGAATTGGCAGGCAGATTCTTAACCACTGGACCACCAGGGATCTACCATAGGTCTTTGAGGCTCAGTCCGCAAAGCAAGTTAAGCCAGGAAGAGGGTTTTTCTAGGGCTTCTTTGATGCATCAGGAGAAATGCTTGTCTGTAGCAGTGAAAACCTGAGCCCTATCCACATGGCCCATCCCTAATGTGTCCAAACCATGTAAAGGGTATTGATTTGAGCTCCAAAGACCCCCTAAGTCCAGGCAGGGTGGTGGGGGGTGGGGGGGCTGGTATATGTTTATGTGTATCTTTCTAGGAACAGTATGTGCAAAGACATTTATGATTCAGAGGCTAAAATCTGCCCCAGACCAGTATTTTTCAAAGTAAGGCCTTTCTGCTGCAGAATTACATGCAGTATCTTTTCAGAAAGCAGCTGTCTCCCTGGGCTCTGTCCCTAGTCTATTGAATCAGTATTTCCAGGAATGGAATCTTATGCCTGCTAAAGTTTGAAAGGACGACTGCTCTGAACAGAAAAACTTATTTTTCTGGCTCCTCTTAGCTTTAAAAGTGTGGGGGTTGGTCTCTGGGCGTGTTCCAAATGTGTCAGGCCAGCTGATGACCTTGCCATAGACACAGACTCCCATTTCCTTTGTTCTTCCCAAAAGGGCCTGTGCCATGACTGGTCTTTTCCTGGGTACCTTAAATCTTGAATATACCAGGGCATCGCTTGTAGCATCTGACAGAAGGACTTTTACTTATTTTTTAAGGGTTTTTTTTTCTTTTTTTTGACTATTATTTATATTTGGCTGCACTGTGGCTTTGTTGCTATGCAGAGACTTTCTCTAGTTGCAGTAAGTGGGGGCTACTCTTCGTTGCGGTGTGCGGGCTTCTCATTGCTTCTCGTTGCAGAACATGGGCTCTAGGGCACCTGGGCTGCAGTAGTTGTGGCACACAGATTTAGTTGCTCCTCAGCACATGATCTTCCTGGACCCGGGCTCGAACCCATGCCCCCTGCAATACCAGGCAGATTCCTAACCACTGCACCACCAGGGAAGCCCCAGAAGGCCTTTCAGAGGGTTTGTCCGTTGCATGCAGGGAGGAAGCAGATCACAGAGGAGCCCCTCTCACACTGAGATCCTACCCTGAATATGGGCCAAGCCACCAGAAACCGAGGCTGCCCACTGAATATCTCTGCCCCAGTGCTGCTGCACACCACGGGATGATTCTGTGGATAAAGTGGTTGCCCAACTCAGGACACACACGCTCAGGGTCAAGTTGGAACCCTCATCAGAGGTTTCCCTGTGCTTCTAGCCTGTCAATGCTATGGATGGGTGGCAGGCAGAGGCTGGCTGCCTCTCGAAGGCCCACTGATGGGAGAGGACAGGTGCTGGAGGAGGTTGCCTGGCAGTCGGTCATGTGCTAACGAGACTGAATTTCCACGTGGAAATACTGGTGCCAGAGCTGACTGAAGCCCTGGCCCCACTCCTGCTACTCATGGGGCTTGAGGCCTGTGCTATGAAGAGTGCAGGCAGTAGACCACGTCAGAGCTGGGGCTGGAGGGCTCACTATACACTTTGCAGGGGATGGCTGCTCTCTGGTGTGAATTTCCTGGTAGGTAAGAAGGTTGGAGGTCAGAGAGAAGTGTCTCATGAAGGTCCTTTGTGTGCTTTGGCGATGATCAGAAGGTGCCCCAGGTCCCACTCTTCCCATAATACTGCACTTGTAGGCTCTTCTGCCTGCGGACCCTCTAGTGCAGGGTGAGCCGTTCTCCACAAAGGTTTTTGGACAGACATCGGGATGGGAGAGAGGTATGGAGCTGGAAGCTGATCCCTTTTGGAGGGCAGAAAAGGACTTCTGCTTTATTAGTAGGAAGGTGTCTGTGATTGTTTGTAAGCCTCTACTGAGAACTGAGATTGCTTCTCTCCAGCCTTTGCCCATTTGCAATTCTCGTTCTCATCTCTTTTCGGGAGAATGGAAGATGTTATCTTTCCTCCCAACCAGTTTCCTTCCTTCCTTCGTCTGAGTAGGCAACAGAAGAACAATCTATGGTTCTTGCATCATTCACAAGGGAGAATTTGGTTCATTAGTTGTCAAGAACAATAGTTTTAGCAGCAAGGGTAGAAAAAGGTCAAGAACTGGATTCTATTCAGTTGTCTTTCCAGGGTCACTTTTCCTTTGATTCAAAGCTGCACCTATGTTTCTCAGGTTCCCTTTCTCTAGAAGCCTGTATCCAAGTCAGACAGGTCAGACAGGAGTGGAAAATTCTTAACTGCCTTAAAGGCCAGATGGTTCTCTATCCACTTCCCCTCCTGAACTCTATTACCCTCACCTGAAGGAATTCTCATTGGCTCCTTGCCTCCCTGTGAGAAAATCCAGGAACCAGGGACTAAGAGCAGGGGGAGGGGAGAAGCAGGGTAACCGAAAAGGAAGCAACCTTCTTTCTGCAGCAGGATTTCCTCCCCCCTCCGCCGCCAACAACCTCCTCTGCCCCGGACTGGCCCCTTTGGGAACCTGGAACCTGTGAGAAAAAGAGAACTCCTGGGAAGGGGAGAGAGGGGAGCCAAGGGAGTCTGTCCTCAGATCCCTGTCTTTCATTCTTCAGGAAGATAAATCTAATGAGAGGTAGATGAGGGCGGTAAAAGCCCTGAAAGTACAGGTCAGAGAAGACCAGAGACGCCAGGACCTCCCTCGCACTCCTCCCGGGGGCACTTCTGGAGCACCGAGGAGGTGGAACCGGCCTGCGAACCCTGCAACCAATCAGAAAGGGGCCTCGCGTTCCCTGGCGACCCTTAGCGCTTAGCAGTTGGTGTAGTGGGAAGAGGCGGGATGGTGAGAGCACGAGCTCCACCAACCAATCGCGGAGCTCTCTAGGAAGGAGGGGAGGTGCCTCTGGAAACTGGAGGCGGGGCTGTTTCCTTGGCAACGATCCTAGCCCTCCCAGAGCGGGGGAAGGGTGGAGATTAGGAGAAGCAGCGAGGTGCGGGGGAGGGGTCGGCCAGAAATGAGGGTGGGAGCGCCCGTATGGGGGATTGGAGTTCAAAGAGGGGTGTCCCGGACTCAGGAGCCTCGATGAGCCCAAGTCGGGGGTGAGGGTAGGGGGCAGGTCTGTCCAGGTTCCCGAGGCGCGGCCAGAACTGACCCCAAGGCTTGGGAGGGGAGGGGAGCTAGACACCGCCCCCGCTGGCGCCGGGAAGCGTCGCTCCTTCTTGCTGACCTTGGTCTCGCTTGTTGCCTCGCCCTTGGCCACAGGCACTGACGGCCGCAGGGCACAGGAGACGGACACAGAGGCCCTTGGGCGGACGGAGACCTACGACATAGGCACATAAACTGTCTCAGCCTCTCCCGCGGTCTCCAAGGCGCCCAGTCTTCCCCCTACCTTGACGCCGGGGCCATCCTGCCCAGGGTTAATGCCAACGAGTTTCCACCTCCAGCCGCTCCTAGAGAGGCCGCGAAGCTAGCCGGCGGGGGAAACTGGCCGCGGACGGACACTTCCTGTGCGGAGGGGAGGGGGTCGGCCAGCCGCAGCCCAGCCAGGGGCTGGGAGGCCAGACGACGGGGTCTCGGGTGGGGAGCGGTATCCGGGGGCAGCAAGGCGAGTCGTGAAGCCCCTCACCTCCGAGGCCACGACGCTTGGGGGCCTGCGAGGACCCCAGCGCAAGCTGAGACCTTGTGGGTGGGGGCGGGGCCGCAGGTACGGGAGGGGCCCGGCGGGCCGGAGAGGCCCAGGGTCAAGACGTCCGGCCTCAGGGGCCAGGGCTGGACAGCCGGGTCCCCTGGCCGGCGCTGAGCGGGCGGGCGGCGAGGGCTTGGGTCTTGGGGCACTCAGACCGAGTCGCAGGATCGTCCACCATCGCCCCCGCCGCCGCACTGGGAGCCGGCGGGGATGGAACGGGAGGCGTCGCCGTGGGGCCTCGAGCCCCGAGATATGCAAAGTCCTGATGAAATGGGGAGCCCTGAAGGGTCCCTCAAAGGTGAGGGAGGGAGCGCCCCTCCGAGGAGTGTGCTTGGGAGCGGGAGAGGGGGCTGTAGTTTGTGGGAGGGGAAGAAAGCAGGGGGCTTGGACACCTGGGACTTGGAGGAGGCGGGGTCGGGGACCCGGTGGCCTGGGTTTGCTGAGGGGGAGGTGGGAATTTCAGCACTTGCCCAAGGGCCAGCGACCCTGATTGAGGAGGAGGGAAAGGTTTGTGGCAATTAATGGTGGGACCCAGTAACCTTCCAGGTCCCACACAATCCGGGTTTTTTGTAATTCTCTGATCCTGCAGGCAACTTGAGTGAGAATGAGGAAGAGGAAATTTCTCAGCAAGAAGGCACTGGGGACTATGAGGTCGAAGAGATATCTTTTGGGCTTGAACCCCAGAGCCCTGGTTTTGGGCCACAAAGCCCAGAGTTTGAACCCCAAAGCCCCAGGTTTGAGCCTGAAAGCCCAGGTTTTGAGTCCCGAAGCCCTGGGTTTGTGCCCCCAAGCCCTGAATTTGCACCCAGGAGCCCTGAATCAGATTCTCAGAGCCCCGATTTTGAACCTCAGAGCCCTAGGTATGAGCCCCAAAGCCCTGGGTATGAACCCAAGAGCCCTGGATATGAACCCCGGAGCCCTGGGTATGAACCCAAGAGTCCTGGGTATGAACCCCGGAGCCCTGGATATGAATCTCAAAGTCCCAGGTATGAATCCCAGAGCCCAGGGTATGAACCCCAGAATCCGGAGTTCAAAACCCAAAGCCCTGAATTTGAAGCTGAAAGTTCCAAATTCCAGGAAGGTGCAGAAATGCTTCTGAATCCTGAAGAAAAGAATCCCTTGAGCATCCCCTTGGGAGTCCACCCCTTGGACGCCTTCACCCAGGGGTTTGGGGAACAGCCTGCAGGGGGCATGCCCTTGGGGCCCCCATTTGAGATGCCCACAGGGGCCCTGCTGGCTCCGCCCCAGTTTGAGATGCTCCAGAATCCCCTGGGCCTGACGGGGACCCTTCGTGGTCCAGGCCGCCGGGGTGGTCGGGCCAGGGGTGGGCAGGGCCCAAGGCCCAACATCTGTGGCATCTGTGGGAAGAGCTTTGGGCGGGGCTCCACCCTGATCCAGCACCAGCGCATCCACACGGGTGAAAAACCCTATAAATGTGAGGTCTGTAGCAAGGCCTTCTCCCAGAGCTCTGACCTCATCAAACACCAGCGCACCCACACGGGCGAGCGGCCCTACAAGTGTCCCCGTTGCGGCAAGGCCTTCGCTGACAGCTCTTACCTGCTTCGCCACCAGCGCACGCACTCTGGTCAGAAGCCCTACAAGTGCCCGCACTGCGGCAAGGCCTTCGGCGACAGCTCCTACCTCTTGCGGCACCAGCGCACTCACAGCCACGAGCGGCCCTACAGCTGCCCCGAGTGTGGCAAGTGCTACAGCCAGAACTCCTCCCTGCGTAGTCACCAGAGGGTGCACACTGGGCAAAGGCCCTTCAGCTGTGGCATCTGTGGCAAGAGCTTCTCCCAGCGCTCGGCACTTATCCCCCATGCCCGCAGCCATGCCCGCGAGAAGCCCTTTAAGTGCCCCGAGTGCGGCAAGCGCTTTGGCCAGAGCTCGGTGCTCGCCATCCACGCCCGCACCCACCTGCCAGGCCGCACCTACAGCTGTCCCGACTGCGGCAAGACCTTCAATCGCTCCTCCACGCTGATTCAGCACCAGCGCTCGCACACGGGTGAGAGGCCCTACAGGTGTGCCGTGTGTGGCAAGGGCTTCTGCCGCTCCTCCACGCTGCTGCAGCATCACCGGGTCCACAGCGGGGAGCGGCCCTACAAGTGCGATGACTGTGGGAAAGCCTTCTCTCAGAGCTCCGACCTCATCCGCCACCAGCGGACCCATGCGGCCGGCCGGCGCTGACCCGGGGCCCCGTCGGGGTTGGGGAGCTGGTGGGCAGAAAAGAAGCGGATAGGGAGCTAGAGCAACCTTGCAAGAGAATAGTGGAGACGCTGGAGGAGAAAAGAGATTCTAGGAGGTGAGGGGGCCAGGGTGGAGGAAGTGACATGCCCTGGAGAGTTGTGGGAAATGGGCTATGAAGAGGGGTTGGAGGGAGGCCAAGCTGGCAGCCGGAGGCTCTGGGAGAGATCGAGAAAGAGGTCAGCCGAGAGCTGGCCTCAGCAGCCGCATGCCCCTTGGTAGAAGCCTGGCTTGGCAAAGTGCTAGATGGGGGTGGGGGGAGGGGGGCTGGGTTACTTAATTAGATTGGGTAGCTTAGACTGGTAGCTACTGAGACCCTCATTGAATCAGGAAGGGGTGAGGGGAGGGGGGGCCCAAAGTGGGGCCTGGCCTCTGAGCGCAAATCCCTGCCTCTTGTCTTCCTCAGGCTTTGGAGCCCCTGAATTTGAGTTCAATAAAAACCTTTATGTGGTAAAAGAGACTTGTCCTTAAATTATGTGTGTGGGTAGTGCCCTGGGCATTGAGAGACGCTAGGTCATAACAGCAGCCAACGAAGCCATAAGGCCTTGTCTGGGAAGTCCTTTTATATTCAGTGTTTCACTGGAATCCTATAATCCGAAGCACAGGAGACATGACTTGCCCATATCTGCTCAAGTTCATGTCCTGTGCTTTGAATCCTGCACAAATGCGAAGGGGGTTCACTGTCGGTGTGAGAAAACTCTCAACTTTGTTCACAAACACAGAGGGTCTGTCCTTGGGCCAGAAAACAGACCCTGATTCTCATATCCAGGCCTAGAGCCTGCATTCCAGCATTCCTGGGCTCCCAGCACCCGGCTGGGCCATCCCCTCCCCCTCCCAGTTGGAACCTCTAGCCACCCTTCTGTACACACACTGACTGACCGTGTGTCAACTACAGGGAGTGTCTCCAGTTCCAACCCCACCCACGAGGGAACAAACCGGATCCAGTGTGAAGGTTAGACAGCTTCAGGCTTTAAGACCTTCCCACCAGGCTGGTCTTTTTCAGGACCACCTTGTTACCACCCCACCTTTCTCCTCCTTTCCTTTCCTATCTGAGTCTCAGCCCTCCCAACACTCGACTTCTCAGGAAATGATGGGGAGTTGGTGCCATCAGTCTGGGGGATTCTGGAGTGTAGCCAGTCATGACCTTAGTTGAGGAGGCCAGGCTGCACCTCAGGGAATTACCCAGCTGCCGGACACATCTTGAGATGAACACGTGCTGAAGGCTGGGCAGTGCCCTGGGAAGGAGACATTCAGAACACGTCTGACTGGCACCACCTGCCCCCAGCAGCTCAGCCTCGCAGGCAGGGGGGGAGTCCTTGCTCCATGAGGCCTCTAGGGCCCCAGGACCCTGACATCACCCTCGGCCCCACGCCCATCTTCACAGCCGCCTTAGAACTTGTCAAAAGCAAATAACCTCTCTAAGTACGTTTCAATCCAACCTCTCGTGATCTACAAACTCTGGAAAGGGGCCCTAGACACGTAGTTGAGTATAGTTTGGTGTGTTTAGTGGTTTCCAAAGTTTAGATGATTTTGGAGACAAAACATTACTTTGCAAGGGAAATCTCAGTTTCTTAAAGACCTTTGTAAAATGTATGCATATTTCTGTACAGACACCCTACTACACACAATTTCAGATAGTAAAATCTCCAGTTCTCACATCTAATATAGTTCATATATGTTGAACAGAACTGCATTTGAATATCTGACATGATATCCCATTAGTAGACATTTACTGCAATATTTATTTTAATTATACAATTCAATCTCCTTATTTTGGAGGTGGATTTTTCTTTGGCTCCAAAATGTAGGTGCTTGAAAGCTAGAAGGCCTGGGCACACTGCCTGTGGTGTTCAACTGCAGCACCACAAAGTAGCCTTGGTGTTTTTGTTTTTGTGTTTTTCTTTTGGGTCGTGTCGTTCATGCTGGATCTTAGTTTCCCAACCAGGAACTGGATCTGTGCCCTTGGCAGTGAAAGTACTGAGTCCTAACCATTGGACTGCCAGGAAATGGCCAGTAGTCTAGGTATTTAAAATCGGTTCAAATGAGGATGCAGATGTAGATGCTCGGCTCCTACCCCTCTCTTCGTGACAGCTCCTGGGGTACCTTCAGTTGCCAGGTGGTGCAGACCAAACCCAGAAAAGACATGTGTATTCTCCAGCGTCAAGGCAGAAGCAATAATGGAAGATCTAGGTCTCCAGCACCAAGTCTCTTGACTCTTGGTCAACCTGTTGCTTTTTTTTTTAATGATCATTTTGTTTATTTATTTACTTACGGCTGTACTGGGTGTTTGCTGTTTGCATGGGCTTTTCTCTAGCTGTGGTGAGCGGGGCTTCTCTTTGTTGTGGTGCTCAGGTTTCTCACTGTGGCGGCCTCTCTTGTTGAGACATGCGGAATCTTCCTGGACTAGGGATCGAACCGGTGTCCCCTGCATTGGCAGGCAGATTCTTATCCACTGTGCCGCCAGGGAAGTCTCAGCCTGCCGCTTTTACTACGCCCTCCTGCTTCCCTTGTGGCTTAGCTGGTAAAGAATCCTCCTGCAATGTGGGAGACCTGGGTTCGGTCTCTGGGTTGGAAAGATCTCATGGAAAAGGGAAAGGCTACTCACTCCAGTTTTCTGGCCTGGAGAATTCCATGGACACAGTCCATAGGGTTACAAAGAGTCAGACACGACTGAGCAACTCTCACTTCACTACACCTGCACAACAGACCAACCACTTCTGTCCACCACCATTAGTGCTTACATGCTAGGAATAGTGCTAAGCAGTTTGCACATGTTACTTAATGCTCAGAGCAGCTCTGAGCTATTATTCCCATTTAGCATATGAAGAAATGAACCCCAGAGAGGATAAGGAATTTGCTCTACATGACACAACTAGGAAGCTGAAGAGACTGATTCCATCCCTTCCTAAGGATACTAAGGGCTTCCCTGGTGGCTCAATTGGTAAATAATATGTCCACAATGCAGGAGACTCAGATTTGATCCCTTGGTTGGGAAGATCCACTGGAGGAGGAAATAGCAACCCACTCCAGTACTCTTGCCTGGAGAATTCCATGCACAGAGGACCCTGGTGGGCTACAGTCCATGGGGTCGCAAAGAGTTGGACATGACTGAGCAACTAACATTAATAATACTAAGAAGTTATTTACTTTTTTCACTCTCTTTCTCCCACAAGGAACAGTTTTCTAGAAGCTGCTTGACATATGATAACATACATTATAACTTTGATGGCTTGCATGGAATGTGGACTTGGGTGTTCTTATGTTTTAAAATTTTCTCCATTTTAATTTCTAATTGGATAAAACCAATAGATTTAATCCATATACACTTAGGGTCACTGAATCAAACCATTATGGAATGATAGCTTATGGTGAACGATGTTAGATTTGTGATCTCCGAAGATTTAGCTTTGGGATCAGGGACCAGGCTTGATCACTGAAGAGCTTTTGTGTAACAGAGTTTTATTAAAGTGAAAAATGACAGAGAAAGCTTCTGACATAGACATCAGAAGGGGGAGGGAGAGTGTCTCCCAACTAGTCTTATCAAGGCCTTATATACTTTAACAGACCCACTCCCACAACATAAATCTTAAATTAAAGAGATTAGAACTAACAATAGAAAAGCCTTACTAGACCCACTCCCACAATATGCTTTTAAACATGACAGGTTTAGTCAGAAGGCTCTTAGAAGGAGAAACATGTTCTCGAGCAGGATACATTGTTGTTATTTAGTTTAAGATGAGTTGTCTTGTGTAATCATTGGCTCTGGGCTTAAAGAAAACAACATTCTATGTGACTAAGACAAAGCAATGTAGAAAAAAACAAAAAGTTTGTCCTTTTCTCCTCCTCCATCTAGTCAAGGCTATGGTTTTTCCAGTAGTCATGTATGGGTATGAGTTGGACTACAAAGAAAGCTGAGCACTGAAGAATTGATGCTTTGGAACTGTGGTGTTGGAGAAGACTCTTGAGAGTCCCTTGGACTGCAAGGAGATTCAACCAGTCCATCCTAAAGGAAATCAGTCCTGAATATTCATTGGAAGGACTAATGCTGAAGCTGAAACTCCAATACTTTGGCCACCTGATGCAAAAAGCTGACTCATTGGAAAAGACTGATGCTGGGAAAGATTGAAGGTGGGAGGAGAAGGGGCAAACAGAGGATGAGATGGTTGGATGGCATCACCGACTCAATGGACATCAGTTTGAGTAAACTCCGGGAGTTGGTGATGGACAGGGAGGCCTGGTGTACTGCAGTCCATGGGGTGGCAAAGAGACACAACTGAATGACTAATACTTTTCACTTTGGATAAAAACATGCTCTTTTTCCCTCATGTCACATCATATTGCCTCCTCAGAGAGACTTTCGCGATCACCTATGTAAAAGGGCCCTTTCCTTCACCCCTTAGCCCCTTTCATTGCTTCATTTTTTTCATGGCCCTATGCCTACCTGGAGTCACACTTCTACTTTTCGCTCTGTTCTCCCACTGGAGTGAAGCTTCTTGAGGGCGGGGACTTGTCTCTTATGTTTACTACTATGTCCTCAAACTCAGCCCAGGGCCTGAGACAGAGCGCTCAGGAAATCCTGAATAGAACCTGACTCTTGCTTCACAAGGCTTATAGATCATTCCATGTACTTTAAGCAGTCTGTGATACTCCTTTTTTTTTTTTTAACTTGATATGATGAGATTTCCCTGGAGGAGGGCATAGCCATCCACTCCAGGCAAGTTGCCTGGAGAATCCCCATGGACAAGGAGCCTGGTGGGCTTCAGTGCATAGGGTCGCACAGAGTTGGACATGACTGAAGCGACTGAGCACGCACAAGCATGATGAGATTGAATTTTAATATTATTTTTTTGGCCATGCCACATGGCATACAGGATCTTAGTTCCCTGACCAGGAATGGAACCTGTGCCCCTTGCAGTGGGAATGTGGAGTCCTATCTACCAAACCACCAGGGAATTCTCCTGTGATACGCCTGGTCAAAACATTTTTTCCCCTCTTTGGGAAAACGAGCCTCACTTCTTCATTCTTTATGTCTTGCTTTGGAGTCAGCCCCATGGCTCCTTGGGGGCTGGACCAGAAGGGCATTGATGAAGTGGAGAGGCTGGCAGGCTTTGAAAGAGTGTTCTGGGGTTTGTGTGTCCGGCTCAGGAATGCCCACTTACTCTGCTGTAGAAAGAAAGGAATCATCGAAGGTGACTGCTTGGGGAACAAAATGTTGCTTGTTGCTTGTCACCTCCCAAGTCTGGACAGGAGCTGGCTGTACTCAATATTCCCCTGGAATCCTACTGACCACAAGAGGGCAGCAGTGACCAGTTCCCTCTGTTCCTTCTGAAGGTAGAGGTGGTTTCAGGGTCAAGGCCCTACAACTGATTGCTTTTTTAAAAAGAGGGGGTGGTGGGCATAAATCGACAATATCTCAATTAAAAAAATTTTTTTTTTACAATTTCCCTGGTAGTACAGTGGATAGGAATCTGCCTGCCAACGCAGGGGACATGGGTTCAATTCTTGATCCAGGAAAATCCAGCATGCCTCGGAGCAAGTAAGCCCACGTGCGGCAACTGCGGAGCCCATGCTCTAGGGCCCGTGAGCTGCAACTCCTGAGCCTGTGTGCCACAACTACTGAAGCTCACGTGCCTGGATTCTGTGCTTCTCAACAGAAGAAGCCACCAAAATGAGACGCCTGTGCACCGGAAGAGAGTAGCCCTGATTTGCTGCAACTAGAGAGGGCCAATGTGCAGCAACGAAGACCCAGTACAGACAAAATAATAAATTAATACATAAAATTTAAAAGGGTGGCTGTCTACCACCCCTGTTTCCCCAAAGCCGACCTGGGATACTGGTGAGCTAGCTTCTTTTTTGGGAAGCCTGCTCTCCCACTCATGGCCGTCGAGCACTTGGAATCTGCCCAGGATCCACTGGCATTATCACCGGTGACCTGACTCGGGAAGCCATGGGGAAGTCGCAGCCTGGTGGCCAGCCTGGCAAAACCAACTGCAGCTTCCAATCCTGAGTCACCAGCAGCAGCCACCAGGCTTCCTTCCAAGGCACAGGCTCATCAGAGACCCCTCCTCTCCCCTCCCCTCTCCAAGACTAAGCAGACTGCCACCCGCAGAGACAGCTGGGCTTTTAATATGAAAACAGAAAAATACCAAGAAGGAAGTTGAGAGAACCCCACCCTTTACCTTCCAAGTCACACAAGAGCCTTCCTGATGTCCCATAACCCTTGCCTTGTACCAAGTGGAAAATAATCTCCAAGCAACAAGTAAAAAAAGGTGGGGTGGGGGGGTAATGTCAACGAAGGTCTATTGTCACAGCTTAATAAACGTTCAGTGCCTCTCCCTAACCTGTCCTCATTTTCTGTGCCTCTCTCACTGCTTCTTCTTTTTTAAAAAATATTTATTTATTTATTTGGCTGTGCCAGGTCTTAGTTGCAGCACACAGGATCCTTAGTTGCGGCATGTGGGATCTGGTTTCCTGATCAGGGATTGAACCTAGGCCCCCTGCATTGGGAGTGCAGAGTCTTAGCCGCTGGATCACCAGGGAAGTCCCTCTTGCTGCTTCTCTTCAATTAACTCACAATATCAGGCACAAGTCAGTTTCTGAGGGTCATCATGGCAAAAAAGAAGAAGGGGAAGGAGAGGAAGAAGCGGAAGAAGGGGAAGAGGAAGGAGGAAAAAGAAAGGAAAGAAAACAACAACCAAAAAAATCTGACTGTTTTGGGCCCACTTAGTGGAAGGGTTGAGGAGGAAATCTTCATTTAATTGAGTCAGGCTGGAATGTTACACCAGTAAAAAACATCACAAAATTGGCCAGAGTTTCATGTTTATTTGCTAAATACATACAAGCATTGTGGCTGGCACTGGGAGCCAAGTCATTGGACATAGTTTCCATCTTTGAGCTCACTCTCTCACAGCGGGGGCCATGGTGGGATGTGATGGGGTCCTGGGGTGGGGGGCTGTGGAATGAGGAGGCAGGAGCCTCGATGGATGAGGTTGCCAGGGGGCCCACCCAAACTTTTTTTCCTGTCTTCCCACAGGCACCCTCACTAATGCAGTAAAACTATGTCAAGCACCTACTATGTATCCGGCTCTGTGATATCACCAGGAGTACCAAGGTGAACAAGACAGCTACGATCCTCACCCTCGTGGAGTTCATCGTTTAACTTCAGAGACAGATATGAAGTAAATCATTTAACAATTAACAAATATGATCAGTGCTATGCAGAACAAGTACGGGCTGTGTAAGCGTGTATAACATGGGAGCCCAGCTGAGCTGGGGCTGGGGGGAAGGTGCTGCTCTGTGATGTGTGAGCTGAGAACCGAAGGCTGAGAGTTAGGCAAGAGGAACTCGAGAAGAGTCTGAAGTGAGAAGTGAGAAGAGGCTGGGTGAAGGCAGTAAACCAGGAAGGAGCCGTGCAAGTGAAAAGGCTGGTCACCTCAGGAAGGAAGGTGGGACATTTCTAGAAGAGTCTGGAAGGGAAACAGGGGCCCAATTTTGCAGATTTTGGAAGGCATATTAAGGAATTTGGTTGTTAGTCAAAGGCCATGGGGTTTGCAGGAACAGGGTAGTGACACAGATGAGATTTGCTCTGGCAGGAGAATTAAAAGCTGACAGGATTCCAGGGCAGGCAAGGCAAGGTTCTGGGGAGGAGGGCGTGGTCTGAGGTCTCTGAGGACATCCAGGCACAGGTGGGTATGACAGCCTAGAGTGTTACTAGGTCCTGAGATGACCATTGCTCCAAATTTAGATCAGATGTTCTCTTCCAGGGGCGGAAACTAACGGGCTGGTGGGAACCGGGATATGTGATGATTACAAGGCCTCACCTCTGTGGCTTTCCTGGTGCATCCCTAAGTGGGTCTTTACCACAAGCCTGAACAGGAGGCAGGAAAGGGCCCATGTTCAAGATAGGGAAAGTGAGGCTTACAGAGGGGCAGTGACTTGTCCAGGAACACACAGTGAAATCCAGGTAGAGGTAGGCTGGTACCAGGCACCCCAAGTTCAGTCCTGGGCCCTCTGCATATGGGCTGCACCTCAATCTCCACCACTTCCATCCTCATCTTCTGGACACGCATCATTCTTCTGGAGAGGCTCCAGACAGCTTGGGTCCTTCAACTCTTTCTCCATCTCCAGCTGCCCAGCATCTTCTCCAGGGATTTCACTGGAAGCATCTACATTCGCCTCCATCTTCTCCTTCAGGTTCCGTTTGAAGAAACCAACCTGTAGGAAGACAACACTGGAGTGAACAAACAGTCCGCAGAGCCCTAACTTCTGTTCATGCTTCACATCCCAACTCAAAGGCCGCCTCTCTTGAGAGGCCTTCCTGGACTTCTCCGGCCTAGGTCAGGCTCCTGTGTTACAGGTTGCAGAGCATGTTCGTGTCTGTCTGCTCTAGAGACTGGGAGCATCTCAGAGGTATGGACCATGTGTGTGGTCTGTGCCTCTGTATCCCAGCGCCTGGCCCTCAGTACGTGGGAAATTCCTTTTTCTCCCTGGGTACCCAGGTCTGGTTTTGCCAGTGCTTGTTGAGGGATGGGGGCAAGTCTTGCTTGCTCTTTGGGCCTCAGGGGGCTTATCTGTAGAAGGAGGAGTAGGCTGAGGCCCCTTCTGGCTTTAATACCCTCTCGTCTTGGTGTTCTGCTCTCTGACTCCACTCAATTCTGCTTTCCACAGCCTGGTTGGGTGCCCGTTCTTCCCAGAAGTTCCTACCTTGTACAGAGCTATGAAAATCAGGAGCAGCAACAACAGCCCCCCAATTCCACTCAGCACATAGAGATAGAGCATCTCTTTCTCATATACAAGGTCCACCTTCATGACGACCTGTGGGAGAGGAGAGACAGAAATGCGGGGAGGAAGCTCTTCCCATCCTGGATGCAACGTGTGAATCTGGTCTCAGACCCTAGGTCTCAGCTTTTCCCATCTGGACTGTGTCACGCAGAGCACGGGGCTCCAGCCCAGACCCTCCCTCTCTAGTACATCTCCCACCACAGCCACTGGAATGAACCGGCAAACCTGCACCTCGGGCCCCCCCTTAAGCCCTTAAAAGGCTTCGTTCAGCCCCAGGATGAAATGCCAGAATCCCAGCTCAAAGCCTGCCGGAATCTGGCTTCTGTTTACTTTTTCAGCTATCCCTTCCCTTCTGCTCTGAGCTCTCTGCTCTTATTTTTATTTTTTTTTATATTTTTAAATATATTTTTTATATTTTTATTTTATTTTTCTTTTATTTTGGCCATGCAGCCCAGCCTGTGGACTCTTCAGTTCCTAGACCTGGGGTCGAACCCGCACCTCCTGCATCGGCTGCGCAGTCTTAACCACTGGACTGTCAGCGAAGTCCCTGAGCTTCCTGCTCTTAAACCCGCCTTGCCTGCTCTCTCAAAGCTGGGCCCTGCACGTGCTACTGTCTCTGCCCGGGGTGCCTTCCCATCATGCCCTGTCTGCGGGGTGGGGGGCCCCTTGGCTGAGCTGCCGTCAAACTCATCCTGACTTTATGGTTGGTCTGTCTGCCCCAGCGGTGGTGGGGAGCTGCGCCAAGGCCCGTGCCTCTGGCTGAGAGGAGCTTCTTATGGCACTAAAGCCCCAGCTTTCTCCTCTATGGCTTCCCACACTCCCGGCTTCTGCTTTCCTAGCTCTGCCCTGGGGCTCCCCCCGCCCCTCTGCTCTCCCCTGCTCCCGGGTCTTCTGAGGCGGCAGAGATACCTGGGCCATGGAGGCGTTGCTGCCATAGAGGTGAAAGTGCTTGCTGCTGTTGAAGGAAATGGAGAGGGAGCTGCAGAGGCTCAACGTGGAGGAGGCCTGCGGGAGGCAGGGGTGCAGGAGGGGCAGACATCAGGCCAGAGGGAAGGAGGACTCAGGGCCCCCTGACCTCTGCCCCCAGCGCAACTCAAGGGGCAGAGGCAGCGGAAGGGTCCTGGTGGGCACGCTGTCTCTACCCCGTTCTCTCCTGGAGTGTCCTAACGTGCCGCTCGTTACTGTGGGGAGGAGGTTTTTCCTACAAAGAACTTGTAAGAACCATCTGTGAGTGAATGAGTGATAGTCACTCAGTCGTGCCCGACTCTTTGAGACCCCATGGACTGTAGCCCGCCAGGCTCCTCTGTCCATGGAATTTTCCAGGCGAGAACACTGGAGTGGGTTGCCATGCCCTCCTCCAGGGGATCTTCCCGACCCAGGGATTGAACCCGGGTCTCCTACGTTGCAGGCAGATTCTTTACCATCTGAGCCACAAGGGAAGCCCTGAGAACCATCCATCAGCCTATGAAAACAGTCCTGCAAATTTTAAACTAATCTTGGTCCTCTTTCATCTGCAACTGTGTAAATGTTGGGGACATTTCCTCAAGACAGAACAAAAAAAGGCAGGTCTGCTGGGAGAACCCACCCCCAACTCTTGAGCCCATCCCCCCAACCATTTGGGGTCTGTGGTCAGCGGGTGCTTGCTACCTTGATCGTCCCCCTCAGCTCCACCTTCCCGATCATTTGGACAAGGATCTCCTGTCTGAAGTCGACTGGGCAGCGGAACTCGGCTCCAAACGAGCAAGGCTGACAGGAAGAAGGAAAAGCAGAGGGTCAGGGAGGTCTCTTCCCACCTGCCCCCTGCCCAGACCCTGCCCCAGTTGCTGAGGTCATGGCCGGTACCTCAGCCACATCCGATGGACTCTCCAGATTTTGGGGGCTGCAGTTGACTGGAGGCTCCTGAGAAGGACAAGGCAGGGTCTTCAGTTAGTCCAGAGCTGAGAGGATGCCAGCCCCTTGAGCCCAGACCCGTTATTCCTCCCTACCTCTCAGATACCACCTTGTCTCCCAGTTCTCTCCTCTTGGTTCTTGGCAGCTTCAACCAGTCTCACTCCCATCCCTACCCATCTGTCGCCCCTCGTTCCCGTCAGGAGCTCCCCCTCCCAGACCTGGACGCCCTCCCCGCCTCTGGGCTGACTCACCATCTGTATGCTCCATTCGTGGGTGATAAGCCCCTCACTGTGCAGCCGTGGCACCCTAACCAAGGCCTCCAGTGGGGGCACGTTGTCGTAGTTAGTAGGCTGGATCCTCACCTGGTACAGAGGACAAGGGACTGCAGAGCCCTGAATGCCACCCCAACTGCCACCCCAGATCCAACCCGCCTTGGCTGGAGCCCAAGAACCCCCTCTTCATTAGGCAGCGGGCCATGGTCAATTACACCCTTAGAGCCTGGGTTCCATGTGCTTCTCTGCTTCCTCCATGTGGCTAACCCTTGCCCATCCTGCAAGATACTGCTCAGACATCCCTGAAGGTCTGGCTGACTCCCTGACAGCACTTTTGTTCCCCAGCAAGATGGTAAACCATCTGCTTGTGTGTGTGGGTATCCCCCTGCTGTGTGAGGGTAGGAGCCAGAGGTCATTTCACATGCACTTCCCTACAGCCATGACACAGTACCCAGCACGTAACCAGCCTCTCAAGAAGTCATTTTCTGAATGAGTGAAAGAGAAAGGACGTTTAACACAGACGGATGCAAAAATTATTTGCACAATGCAGGTTGGCAAGGATATTCTGGCAAGTGCACTGCATTTATTTAAGAAACATTTCCAGGACCGGAGATCTAGCAGCAACTGAAGCAGCATGGCCAAGCCTTGTGGGGTGCGCCTGAGTGGGGAAGCCCGCAAACAGGTGGATGTCTTCAGGCAAAATCTTTTCCAGGAGGCTGAGGAATTCCTCTACAGATTCTTGCCTCAGAAAATCATATACCTTAATTAGCTCTTGCAAGAGGACTCTTTCAATGTGACTGACCTGAATTCTCTCCGGGCCCCACTGGACATCCCCATTCCAGATCCCCCACCCAAGGATGATGAGATGGAAACAGATAAGCAGGAGAAGAAAGAAGTCCCTAAGTGCGGCTTTCTCCCTGGGAATGAGAAGGTTCTGGCCTTGCTTGCCCTGGTTAAGCCAGAAGTCTGGACTCTCAAAGAAAAATGCATTCTGGTGATCACATGGATCCAGCATCTGATCCCCAAAATTGAGGATGGAAATGACTTTGGGGTGGCAATCCAGGAAAAGGTATTGGAGAGGGTAAATGCAGTCAAGACCAAAGTGGGAGCCTTCCAGACAACTATTTCCAAGTACTTCTCAGAAGGTGGGGATGCTGTGGCCAAGGCCTCTAAGGAGACCCATGTAATGGATTACTGGGCCCTGGTACATGAACGAGATGAGGCAGTCTTTGGGGAGCTCAGGGCCATGGTGCTGGACCTGAGGGCCTTCTATGCTCAGCTTTACCATATTATCAGCAGCAACCTGGAGAAAACTCTCAACACAAAGGGTGAAGAGAAGTCATCTAAGTACTGAGCCCAGGGTTAGAAGGGGAATAAATGACCTATACTTTGTTTAGAAAAAAAAAAGAGAGAGAAACATTTCCTGGGACTTCCCAGGTGGCTTAGTGTTTAGGATTGCAGGCTCTCACTGCTGTGGCCCAAGTTCAATCCCTGGTTGGGGAACTGAGATCCTATAAGCAGTGCCTTGAGGCAAAAACAAAAACAATCAAACAAAAACCCAGATTCTCTCTGAAAGACATGAATCAGATTCTGTACCTAACTGAGAACACAATTAGCAGATCAAATGTCTACATAATCGAATCTTAAAATAAATGTGAATTTTCTATTTCAAAAAACCAAAAAAGCAATACAACATTGTAAATCAATTATGCATGAGCACGTGCTAAGTTTTGGACCCTATGGACTGTAGGCTGCCAGCCTCCTCTGTCCATGGGGATTCTCCAGGCAAGAATACTGGAGTGGGTTGCTGTGCCCTCCTACAAGGGATCTTCCCAACCCAGGACTCTAACCTGTATCTTTTATGTCTCCTGCATTGTCAGGTGGGTTCTTTACCACTAGTGCCACCTGGGAAGCCCATATCAATCATACTTCAGTAAAACAAATACAAAAACCACAAACCAGTGACTTCCCTGGTGGTTCAGTGGTTAGGACTTCGCCTTCCAATGTAAGGGGTGTGGGTTGATCCCAGGTCAGGGAGTTAAGATCCCACATGCCTCAGGGCCAAAAAGCCAAAGCATAAAAAAACAGAAGCCATATTGTCACAAATTCAATAAAGACAAAAAATGGTCCATATAAAAATAATTTTTTTTAATATAAAAACAAAACTCAAAAAACTAGGTTCTTTCTCAAGGCACTTGGGTTCTAGAGTTCTGTGATTCCAGAAATAATTTATCCGGGGTGGAAAGGCGCCGATGAGTATGCTGTCACTGGGAGCATTTTAGGAAAGGATCACAGAAGGTGGAGGACTGGGGTCCTTTAGGGACAGGATCTAGCTGGTCTCTGCTGCATACTTAGTTCTTAGGTTGGGGCTGCACCTGGCACCTCTAAGGACTCTTTCACATTGAGGTTCATACCTGGTAGATGTGCTTGACATACTGGGTCTTGGGACTCTCGGGGGTAAAACTGATATACAGCGTGGAGTTTTCCTGGCTGTGGAGAGAGAGGAGCAGCTGGAGATGGTGGAGAAGACAGCAAACCAGTCACGCGGGGGCTCCGGGGCCAGGGGAAGCCTTGGAGTTGCCCGCCACTGTTCTAGAAATAGCACAGGCTCCGTCTCACATCATCCCGACACTGCTCTGCTGTTGCCCTTTGTAAATTTAGGCTCACGGAAGGGGTCAGTCTTACTCAGAGTCCTGCAGTGGGGGACCAGGGCTGGATCACAGAGGGGTGACCTTTGGAGCTGTGTTCTCCCCACTAGACGCCACTTCGCTGGGGCCTCCATTGTCCTCTGGACCCCACTGCTCATCTCCTAAAGAACTACACCCGCCTCTGGACCACTTCCCACTCCCTCCTTCTAATGGCCTTCCTAATCTTGTCATGCGTCTCCTCTGAATCCATCAGTGGTTCCTTGGTGCCCACAACGAGTCAGGTCCAGTGTTCCCCCGTAGCCAGACCTGCTTCTTTCCTGGTCTGCCTGCTGACTGCTCCCCGCTCATACCTGCCACCTCTGGGCCTGCCCACTCCTTGCTCCCCGGATCGGCCCCACTGTTTGCTGCCTCCATGTTGTCCACTACACTTGTCTCTCTGATAACCATGGATGCCTTCCTTCCTGGCCCATATCTGAACCACTTCCACCCCCATCCTCCAGACCCTAGTTCAAGCCCCTGTTCCCCACCAACCCTTCCTTCCAAGTCTCCTCCAATCCACAGCATCTTTCCTGACTCTAATTCCATATCACGCCTCAGACAACATCACTGTGTGTGGCATTTATGTTCAAAAGCACCAGGGACGCCAGCTCAGACACCATCCTCGTCCTTATCTCACTCAGATGGCTTAAAAATGCCACTTCCCTTTTCTGGCTTCCTCCCCTTTTTGGAAAATTCAACAAGTGAGCCCCATGGGTCCTTCCTACCACCACATTCTGACACTCACTTACTCTGCGTGTACACGAGTTTGGGCTCTCCTACCTGACCATAAAGTCTCTGTGGGCAAGGGTCATGGTGAAAACTTTTCTATCTCTTCTAGCTCTGCTGGCCCCAGGGAAGAGGGAATCTAGCACAGCTGGAAGTAGTAAAGAGCTTGGCTGGGGTTTGAAGTCAGACAGACTCAAGTTCAGATCCTGGGGTCAGTACTTCCTAGTTGTCCACTCTGGGCAAGTTCCTCCCTTCTCTGGGCCTTGTGGTTCATAAGTAAATGGGACAGAGGCAAACGGCTGCCCCACGAGGTATCAAAAGCTCCTGGGAAAGTCCCCAGCTGTGCATCGCAGCTGGTGCAGAAGGTGACACCAGGTCAGTAAGTTTCCGTCTGACTCAGAACTCTCCGAGGGCCTTCGCTCTACTGAGTGCTGAGATCTGCTGGAGTTGTGGCTGGAATCAGTTCTCATCACCCCTGGGCCTCTAGGAGGTGGAGGGAGGGGCGGCCCCGGGAGGAAGGCTGGGGCCCTGGGTGGGGAGGCTGCGGCGGGAGGAGGAGGCGGGGTGGCTGCTCAGGACTCACTCCTTGGTGAGGATGTTGATGGGGTACATGACGGGGATGCTGGCAGTGACCGAGTTGTCCTGCAGAAGTCTTAAGTCCTCATTGTTGCTGCAGAGGGCAGGACAGAGGGCGGTGTCAGGAGACGGCTTGGCCAGGACCGGGAGACAGCCCGAGGCCAAGGGCGGGTGGAGACGTGGGTGGGGGTCTGCTCACCAGCTCACACTGGCATCCAGCTCGATAAAATCCCCCCAAGAGTCTTTCTGCAGCGTATGAAACATCACCTGGATATCAACCTGGCAGGAGAGGAGAGGGGTATGAAGAAGGAGGGGGCCTGCGCCTCAGGGGACTGCCTTGGCCCCTCCCAGCCCCGCGCCCCCACTGCCATAGTCATCGGAACGTCCCTGGGCTGGATGCTTCATCCCCACTGTAGAGATGGGGATACCGAGGTTCCAAGTGATTAAGTCATGTGTGTATGGTCACAGTACAGATGACCCTGGGTTTCTCCGATTCCAAAGTCCACCCTCTCAAACACGACACAGGACGCCTCTGCACACACTCTCTTGGGGGTAAGGGGTGGGGTACACCCGGCCTTGTCAATCACCTTCCCCTCCCCACCTGAGCTTACAGCCTCTGGCCCCTGGGCTCCTGGGGGCCAGAGGCACTCACCACACTGTCTGCTCCAAAGATGGGCGAGCTCACGTTGCAGGAGAGGGCCCTGCTCTGCAGCATGATCTCCTCAGGAAGCTCCTCGCAGCCCACAGGTACATGGCTGTGGGGCTGGGGGTGAGACAAGAGAGAAGGAGCTTTTTAGTGGGCAAGGCTAAGGGTTCCCCAGAGGCCACTAACCTCTCAGGGCCCTCCTCCTCCCTGCCAGGGCACATGTAGAGAATGGTGGGACCAAAGAATCAGGGATTCAGTACAAAGATGTTCGCTGTAGTGACTTCCCTGGTGGTCCAGCATTTAAGAATCTTCCTGCCAATGCTGGAGACGTGGGTTCGATCCCTGGTCTAGGAAGATCCCGCTTGCGGAGGGGAAATGAAGCCTGTGCATCACAACTACCGAGTTGGCACTCTAGAGCCCACGTGTCTCAACTACTGAAGCCCGTGTGCCCTAGAGCCCGGGCTCCACTACAAGAGAAGTCACCGCAATGAGAAGCCTGAGCACCACAACTAGAGAGTAGCCCCTGTCTGCCGCAACTAGAGGAAGTCCACACACAGCAGTGAAGACCCAGTGCAGCCAAAAAAATAAATAAAAATTTAAAAAGATGTTCATAAGTGTATGGCTGAGTCCCTTCACTATTCACCTGAAACTACCATAATGTTCATTGGCTATACCCCAATACAAAAAAAAAAAAAAGTTTAACGTTTGGGGGAATAAATAAAAGTACAGAAAAATTTTTTAAAAAGTACTTAAAAAAATGATGTCCACTGTAATACTATTTATCCTAGGGAAAAACTGGAAGCGATCAAACAAGCCAAAGAGATAGGAATGGTTCCGTGAATTGAGGTACAATCACAGGAGACTTAAAATGCTGCTACATCCACACATTCAGCAACCATTTCCAAAATGCACTTGATCCTGGGCTAAACAGAACAAAACCCTTTATCTTCATGACTATCTTGGAAGGGACAGATTTCAGCTTAGATTGGAAAGAAAGTTAGACAGGAAATAAGGGTTCAGGCAAGTCGAGTGACTTTCCCACAGTCTCATAACTAGGCAACCTTGGGAGGAATCTGGTAGGAACTTGAACACAGGTCTGTTTAACTCCAGATCTCAAGTTCTTAATCACTCTATTACGTGTCCCTTAAGGAAGCATTCAGAACTTCCATCGTGGTCCAATGGTTAAGAACCTGCCTGCCAATGCAGGGGACATGAGTTCCAACCCTTGTCCAGGAAGATTCCACATGTGGAGGAGAAACTAAACCCATGCACTGCCACTACTGAAGCCTGCACGCCCTAGAGCCCATGCTCCGCAACAAAAGAAGCCACTGCAATGAGAAGCCTGAGCACTGCCACAAAGAGGAGTGTCTGCTCGCCGCAACTAGAGAAAAACCCATGCGCACCAACAAAGACCCAATGCAGCTATTAAAAAAAATAAACAAAAATTTGCAAAAAGAAGCAGTGAATGTCGCTGTATAAGAATAATTCAAGGGTCCATCCACAGATGAACAGATCAGCAAAATGTGCTATATCCTTGGATAAAATATTAGCCTTAAACAGGAATGAAATTCATATGCTATCCCAGGGATGAACCTCAAAAACATTAGGCAAAGGCAAAGAACATTATGCTAAGTGATATAAAACACAAAAGGACAAATACTGTATGACTCAAGGTATATAAAATATCTAGAGATGGCCAATTCGTTGAGACAGAAACAGATTAAAGGTTACCAGTGGCAGAGAGTGGGGAATGGGATTTATTGCTTGGGGGTACAGAACTTTTTTTTGAGCTGATGGAAAAGTTTTTCAGATAGATAGTGGGGATGGTTGCATGAACTGTGAGTGTACTTTTTTCTTGTTGTACACCTTCCACTTATACAGTGCTTTCTGTCAATTATATCTCAATAAAACTGGAGTAAAAAAAAAAAACCCAGGCCATTCCTCGATAACATGTTGGTCACATTTAGGAGGAAGGTGGTTCCATCTCCCTGAATCTGTGAACATCTTTTTGGTCCCCAGGTCCTTAAGCCTCTGTCACGCTCTCCATCTCATGCGACCTTCTCTCTAATCCCCTGACATCCCCAGCTTCACCTTTTTTTTAAAATTTTTATTGTAGTGATTTTTGCCATACTTTGACATGAACCAGCTTCACCTCTTGTTGGCAAATCTGATGCCCACAGAGCATGAATCTTGTATCTCACAGTTCATGGGTGGCCATCAGGCTGAGAAGCCAGACGTGGTCTGAAGACTTCCACCCACATCTTCAGGCTGTCCTGGCCACCTGGGGCCCCAGGAGGCTGCAGATGCTGCAGGACTAGCCTGGCACCTGGTCTGTGGGCAGGCTCTGCCCTCTCACTCACCTTCAGCATCTCCACTTTGCGGAATGAGAGTCCCTGGGGGAAGGTCAGGGTGACCTGGACCCAGTAAGCATCTTCTGCTGTGTTCCTCAGTGTCAACCCCACAGATAGACTGGCGGAGGGGGTTAGACGCAGGATTTTGGATCTGAGGGGAAATCAGGGCAAAGTTATGGGAGTCCATGAAAGAAACAGGGTCAGAGGTGGAGGCTTTCAGAACTGAGGGATCCGGTAGGTCATAAAAAAGAAACAGCAAAATATGCTCCTATGCAGAGGCTTTAAGTTTTGCTATCTCCTCTATTCCTGATAGGAGGGCTGCAATGAACTAGCATTTCTCAGAGGAGGAATCTAAGGCCCAGATGACAAATAAGAGTCAGTGTCCATGGAGGTCTTCTGACTGTCACTTCATGCAAATACTATTTATTTCTTTTCTTTTAAAAAATACTTATATATTTATTTATTTTTGGCTGCATCATTTCTTGGTTGTGGCACACGGGCTTAGTTGCCCTGAGGCACATGGGATCTTAGTTCCCTGACCAGGGATTGAACCCACATCCCCTGTATTGCAAGGCAGACTCTTAACCACTGGACCACCAGGGAAATGCACCCTGTGTTCCTTCTATAGCCAGGAGCTGCCTTGGGAAAACATTGAGTGAAACAGGAGGGCCCGGGGGTGGGAAGCCTTACAGACCCCATGTCGGAGAAGGTCAGCTTCAGGTCTGCCTCACAAGTCTTGTCCTCTCCGCAGTTCTTCTCAAAAGGAATCTGAAAGGCCAAGAAGAAAGGACCTGGAGGCTCAGGTCCCCACACCCAGGAGGGCTGGCCCCCCACCTCTCTGTCTGCCCCCCTGCCCCTCTTACCTCCTTGGTCTCCGAGTGTGGTGAGGGTTTCAGGATGGGAGGGATGTCCCTGCCCTGCTGAGCATGGAGGAGGGGAACACAGGAGAGGGTGGTTGAGGCAGCAGAATTGACGGAGGAGAGCTGGAGCAGCTCAGAGCTGGGGCTCAGCTCAGGGGGCTGTGGTTGCATCCCTCCCAGGAGCCAAAGCCTTCCCACTGTGGGCCCCAACCTCCCAACTCAGCCCAAGGCCGTCTGTGCTGCCCGCCTCTGGAAGCAGCTCCTTGAGGGAGGCTCAGCATGTGAGTCCACTTCCCATCCTGGCCGGGAGATCTGGGCCTTGACCATGTACTTCCCCACTTTCCCCCAGCCCAACATCTCTGCTCACAGGAACACCTGGCTGCACAGCTTCTAGGCTCTTCTGCTGGGGAATAGCTCTTCCTGGAGTCCCACTTTCCTTCTAGAATAGCTCTCCAGCTCTTATCAGATCAAGGCCAGTTTTTTCAATGTTTCTAGAATTTCTGCTCTGGACCAGACTCCCATGCATGTGTGCTCAGTCGCTTCAGTCATGTCCGACTCTCTGTGACCCTGTGAACCATAGCCCTCCAGTCTCCTCTGTCCATGGGATTCTCCAGGCAACAATACTGGAGTGTGTTGCTATTTCGTCCTTCGGGGGATCTTCCAGACCCAGGGATCAAACCCGAGTCTCTTATGTCTCCTGCCTTGGCAGGTGAGTTCTTTACCACCAGCGTCACCTGGGAAGCCTCCAGACCCCGCCCCCCCCCCCCCCCCCGCCCCAAACCAGAGAACAAAACAGACACCCTGCCGTTCCTCTCAATCTGGTGAGAGAAACGGCCAGGCACCCTCAAGTGTGAGGGTGGGACAAGTATAGGATGCATTTAGAGGGTGTAGAAGGGGACCCTCCCATGCTTGGAGATCAGGGAAGCTTCCTGAAGGGATGGCATCACAACCGAAATATAAAGGATGAGGAGGAGGGAGCCAGGTGAAGAGGATGGAGAGAGAGGAAGAAAGAACAATTTACACCGAGACCAAGGCAAGAGAGACTGCCCATGTAAGGTGTAAGGAGCAGAGAGGGGCTCAGACAGGCTGGGGTGCCACCTGTCAGGAGGTGTCCAGATGCAGGGTCCAGATTGCCCCTGGCCTTGCAATTCATATAGGCAGTGGAGGGTAATGGGGTCACAGAAATATTTTATGGGTGATCAACTCTATGTTCTAGAGAAGACTCCAGCCTCCTCGACTTCTGAGCCACCTGCCAAGCAGCCTCTGACTCTTCCTTAAAGGCAGGGGTCCTGGCAGTCTCTGCTGAGGGGTTTAGCCTACCCTCAACATTCACACGCAGATTATTCCCACCACCCACCAGAAACCACAGTAGGTCCCCAAAGGCGCATCGAGGGCCTCTGCCTTGCTCAGTTGTCCTGACAGAAGCTAAACCCATCTTCCCATTGTCTCCAGAATTAAAACCATGCCTCTCCTCCCCACAAAGTCCATTCATTCTGTGAGATCCAGAACCAATGATAGATCCCCCAGGAAGCCTTTTCGACAACCATGACCTCAGGTCTCTTTTTAACCCCGAGTTGCCATCCCGCAGTTTGCCTTTTTTTTAAAAAAAAATTAGTACCAGTGGGAGAAACTGCTGGTTTTCCCTATACATCCTGATCGAATGGCAGGTTGGGGAGTGGGGCACTGGCAAAAGCCACAAAAAAGAGTCACCATTTGCTTAGCAGTCACTATGCTCTGGCTCTGAAGGGGCCTCACAATGCTGGGACTCATTTCAGAGAAGAGACAGTCCCGGAGTAAGGCAGAACCTTCTTGTCCTGGAGGAAAAAAAAAAAATCCTTGGCTGGTGGCTCAGTGGTGAAAAATCTGCTTGCCAGTGCAGGAGACAGGGGTTCGATTCCTGGTCTGGGAAGATCCCCCAGGCTTCGGAGCAACTAAGCCACAACTATTGAGCCTGTGCTCTAGAGCTTGGAAGCTGCAACTGCGGAGGCCCACATGCCCGCGCCCTGGAGCCCATGCTCTGCAGTGAGAGAAGCCACTGCAAAGAGAAGCCTGGGCATCACAGCTAGAGAGTAGCCGCCACTCACTGCAATTGGAGCGAAGCCTGTGCAGTGGCCAAGACCCAGCACAGCCATAAATTTAAAAAATAAATAGCTTTGGCTGGGTCTGTAACCAACCAAGAATATTCCTTAAAAAAAAAAAAAAATCCTCATCTTCAGGCTTCCAGGCCCAGGTTCCTTCCATCAGAAGGTGAAGTCGCTCAGTCGTGTCTGCCTCTTTGTGACCCCGTGGGCTGTAGCCTGCCAGGATCCTCTGTCCATGGGATTTTCCAGGCAAGAATACTGGAGTGGGTTGCCATTTCCTTCTCCTTCCATCAGAAGAGATGGAAGCCTCCTGCTCCCTTCCAACAGAAGCTAAACCAGCAGCTGAGTGTCAAGGATTTCAGAAGAGGAAATCAGGCTTTTGATGCTGGGCGTGGAGCCTGTGATCAGGTAGACCAGGGTAGAGAGGGTTTTCCTCTTCTTTTCCATAACAAGGGCACCCCAGTGAGGCTCTGCGGGAACTACCTGACCTCAGAGGAGTACCCTTGGGCAAGGCTGATCAAGGTGCCCTGTTCTTCCACAGATAAGGGATCGTCCTAGGCCTTCTGGTGTTCTCTCCCTGGAATTTGCATCTTTTAGAAACTTGCCTCCCGTTAGAAGCCTAATGGGGCTTCCCAGGTGGCCCAGGGGTAAAGAATTGCCTGCCAATGCAAGAGACGTAGGTTCAATCCCAGGGCCGCGAAGATCCCCTGGAAGAGGAAATGGCAACCCACTTCAATATTCTGGCCTGGGAAATCCCATGGACAGAGGAGCCTGGCAGGTTATACAGTCCATAGCATTGCAGAGTCAGAGAAGCCTAATGAAGTCTGAAGCTGATGCTCTGAGGGGCTGGGAGAAGAGTCACAGAAGGGACCATGCCCCGGGCAGTCCATCCATTATTTCTTCCTCTTGAGAGTCCCTAGAGCCTCTACCCACTCTGGTCCCCCATCTTGCCAACCCCAGGTTTCCAAATGTCTTTTAAGTACAAAACTCCCATAGACTCCTTCCTGCTTAAGTAAGCATATTTCATTTCTACTGCTTGAATCCAATATAATACAATCCTGCCAAATCAAATTTCTATCCTCCCCTGTTTACTATCATTTCCCCTAACTGATCTGTTCTTACCTCCCTTGGGTCCCTCGGTGTCCCTTCTTCCTCCCAGAGAGAGTAACTTAGGGAGACGTTGATGGGAGAGATGAGATCTTGAATGCATAACTGAGGGCAAAAAGAATACACTCCTTGTCATGAGTTTAACCTTTACCACACTTCCAGTGAAAGACACACCTTGTCCATACTTCATAAATGATGGAATTCCAGCAGCTAGTTGTCTGAGAATTTACCAGTCGTGGGAATACGTCTATTACACATCGGGTGTTTGTGAAATGCCCAACTTGCTTTTCTGCCAGTGTTCATCCCTCTGCCCCAATGCCAAGGCAGATATCAGCCATCAACCACAGCACTTTTCCTCCCTGAGTCCTAACAGAAGCCCCCAGATCTTTGTCAGACTCCTCTAGGCAACAACTACCAAAGTGTGCACAAAGAAAAAATACTCTGGAATCACCAGAATATCTTAGGTCCTTGAGAACAGGAGTGGGTCTTAGTCTTTTTAAGAAATTAATTTGGCCACCTTGGGTCTTAGTCATAGCACCTAGGATCTTTACTTGTGGTATGTGGGATCTTAGTTCCCGGACCAAGGATTGAATCTGTGTCCCCTGCATTGCAAGGGGGATTTTTTTCTTAATTTATTTAATTGTGCACTTTATTTCTATTATTATTTTTTAATTGTTTATTGAATGATAATTGCTTTACAGAATTTTGTTGTTTTCTGTCAAACCTCAACATGAATCAGCCATAGGTATACATATACCCCTTCCCTTTTGAACCTCCCTCCCATCTCCCACCCCATCCCTCTCCTCTAGGTTGATACAGAGCCTCTGTTTGAGTTTCCTGAGCCATATAGCAAATTCCTGTTGGCTATCTATTTTACATATGGTAATGTCAGTTTCCATGTTACTCTTCCCATACATCTCACCCTCTCCTCCCCTCTCCCCATGTCCATAAGTCTATTTTCTATGTCTGTTTTTCCATTGCTGCCCTGTAAATAAATTCTTCAGTACCATTTTTCTAGATTCTGTATATATGTGTTAGAATACGATATTTATCTTTCTTTTTCTGACTCACTTCACTCTGTATAATAGGTTCTAGGTTCATCCACCTCATCAGAACTGACTCAAATGTGTTCCTTTTTATGGCTGAGTAATATTCCATTGTGTATATGTACCACAAATTCTTTATCCATTCATCTGTCGATGAATATCTAGGTTGCTTCCATGTTCTAGCTATTGTAAATAGTGCTGCAATGAGCAATAGGATACATGTGTCTGTTGCAATTTTGGTTTCCTCAGGGTATATGTCTGCAAGAGGGATTCTTAACCACTGGACCAGGAGGGAAGTCCAGAATCTTGGTCTTTTATGTTATTTTTAATACTAGTGCTTGACACTTTGGACACATTCAGATTGTACTTATGTAACATTTCCCCCAACTCAAAGAGGTAGGTGTCATTACCCTCAAATTAAACACAAGGAAAATGAGGTATAAAAAGGTGACACAATTTCCCTAAGGACCAGAACTAGGGAGTGAACCCGGACCCTTCCAACTCTCAAGTCTAAAGTCTTTCCATGATGTCACAATGCCTCTTCTCTGGTAAATTTCTGTTTAAAATGTCTAAATTCTATGGTGGGGATTTGTGGTATGAGACAGACAGGCTCTGAATAAAGTAAGTTTGTGAGCTGATAATTGTTGAAACCAGGAGATGAATATTTGGAATTTCATTGAACTACTTTTTCTGCTTTTGTATGTCCAAAATTTCCCTTAATAAAAAATTAAAAACAAACTTACACACCAATTTTATACTCAGTCTCTTATGAAATTCTTAAGAGACCAGGATAAAATTTAGTATCAATCCTATGTCACACAGGATCGTTGTCAGCAAACTGAATTTGGATATATTGGCAGTTATTTAAACTAGTAATAACTTAAAAAAATTCTTTTGGGGATGGATGCTAATAATAAATGACCATGTATACCTGGAAAATAGTGACACACCACCATGCCTGAATATTATATAGGACTACATATTCTCTAGCCATTAAAAATAATCTAGGGATTTCTCTGGTAGTCCAGTGGTTAAGACTCTGAGCTTCCAATGCTGGGGGTGAGAGTTCGATCCCTGATTGATTGGGGAACTAAGATCCCACATGCTGCTCAGTGTGGCTCCCCCCAAAATCAATAAATCTGAAAGCTAGACTGCAAATTGATATACAATATGTGAAAAGAGTATGGGGAAAATGGTAAGTACTTTACAATTGTAGTCATGTCAAAAATGCCTGTGGACATGGATTAAGGACTCTAAGAAAACATGCTGAAGGTATTGTTACTACTGTGGTTCCGAGAGGAAATGGTAGGACTGGGAGATCAAGGTGACCTGTGACCCTCGCTGGACAACGAAGGAGCTGAGCCTGGCACCGGGGCTGCCTCCTGCTGCGGTCAGCTCGTCCACCCCTCCCCTGCCCTGAGCAGCCTTGCTGGCTCCTTACCGGAAAGTGGAACCAGAACATAAAGCAGGACTTGACGGAGGTGACAGCTGTGTTCCTAGTGAGTTCGTGTTTCCCTCCTGGGAACAACCCCCGGCTTCGGGTCCGATGGCCGTCCAGCTGCAGAGTGTAAGTAAGGTTGGCAACCAGATGCCCTGGGCAGGGTGGAAAGGCGAGAGGTGAGTGTTGGTGGATCCTGCGGCCAGGAGCTGGGATATGGGGCCACCCGGAGGACAGCACTGACCTTGGAAGGTGGAGATGAGAGACTTGACCTGGAAACAGACTGTGATGTTAACGCCTTCCTTCTTTTGGTTGCTGGTGGAATAGGAGCACTCAACTTCATGCACTGGGATCTCAGCTGGGGAGAAGGACATGCTTGTGATGATGTCCACCACAGGCCGGGAGCTGCAGGGCAGGAAACAACCAACACTCTCCCTCAGCCTCAACTGCCACCCCCAATCAGACCTGGGGCTTCAGCAGAGTCCAGAGGACTTCCCTTCCCTAGAGCAGACCTCGGTGCCACTGTCTCTTTGCAACAACAATAATAATGATCATTCATTAGGGCTCCTCATAATAATTCATCCTATCAGCCTTCCAACATATTTTCCATACAGAAGAGTGAGTTTTTACAGACAGGTCAGGGAAATTCCTGGTGGCTCAGTGGTTAGGGCTCCAAGCTTTCACTGCCAAGGGCCCGGGTTTGATCCCTAGTTGGGGAACTAAGATATTGTACTATTTCAATGCCAAGTAATCTTGCAAGGATGCTCCATGATATTCAGAATAAAATCCAAACTTTTCACTGTCTGTGTCACCTGCCTCTCCAGTTTTACCACCTACCACACTGACCCTCTTTCAGTGCCTTATACGTATCATACTTTTTTTTAGTATTTTTTAAAATATCTTGGCCCAACATATTTATTTATTTTTACATTGTGGCCTCAAGGCACATGGGATCTTAGTTCCCCAGCCAGGGATCAAACCTGTACCCCTTGAAGTGGAAGCTTGGATTCTTAACCACTGGACCACCAGGGAAGTCTCGACATGTCATACTTTTGGCTTCCTTAGAGCCTTGGCACCTCCTGGGCTTTTGACATAAAAAGCTCTTATCCCAGATTTCTGCAAGCCTGCTTCTTTCTTTCAAGTTCCAGATCCCCAAACAGGCCTTTCTTGGCCACCCAACTATAGCAGTTCTCCCCTGCTATTCTGTCTTACAGAACCCTGTTCATGTCCCTAGTGGCACTTATCACAATTGTAATTATCTATTTATTTTCTTTTTTTATTATATGTCCCCCCACCCCATATACTCTCCAGTCAATGCCTGTTTCAGTACTGAAGACAGTAGGTGCTCAATAAATAAATATCTATTCACTATATGACGTTACATGAGGCTTCCATTGACTCTAAAACAGGTGTCAGGCAGGAAATGCCATCACCATTTCAAAGATGACTAAAACCTTGAGGTCCTGAGAAGCTAACTGGCTGGGATAAGATGACCCAAGATGTCAATAGCTATCTTCGACTTGAACCCAAATGACCAAGTTCTAAAGCCACCACAAGCTTCAGTAGGAGGTTTTAGTGTCAGACAATTGTTTAGTTACTAAGTTGTATTCAATTCTTTGAGAATCCATGGACTGCAGCCCACCAGGCTCCTCTGTCCATGGGATTTTCCAGGCAAGAATACTGGAGTGGGTTGCCATTTCCTTCTCCAGGAGATCTTCCCGACCCAGGGATCAAACCCGCGTCTCCTGTGTTGGCAACTGCATTCTTTACCACTGAGCCACCAGGGAAGCTGGTGTCAGACAGACGTGGGTTCAAACCCCAATCTGTCACTGGACAGCAGCTGTGTAATCTGGAGTAAGACAAGAAGAACCAGACAAGAACAGGAGAACCAGGCTCACAGGCTTGGGCTGAAGACCAAATGCGCTGATGGCGACAGGCATTTAGCATGACGCCTACTACACTGCAACTGCTCAACAGATGAGAGCTGCAACTATCTGTAGGTAGGACTCTGGAGTCCCAACTTACCTGAGCACGATCACCTGGCCCTCAGCCCCCACAGCCACATCTGCCAGGCCATCCCCGCTGAGGTCCTTCACCCCGTGGATGGAGCGTCCAAACCATTGAATTCCTGAGGACATCTGGGTCCCTTCTATCCGCTGAAGCCAAGAGAGAAATTCATGCTAAGCTAGCGGAGAGGACAGGCAGAAGGGCGGGAAGAGCGGGACTGGGGAGTAGGATCGGGATTTGAAGGCTTCCAGGGGCCTGGGAATGGGTTTTGATTGGCAGGTCGGGATCCTCACCTGACTGGGCCGGGGGCTCAGCCCCCCTTGCTGCCCATTGAAGATGTACACGGCCCCCTGCTCCTCCAGAGGGGCTCCCACAGCCACGTCCGTCAGCTCATCCCCGTTGATGTCCGTCAGGGCAGCGATGGCGGCTCCAAATCGCCCGAGGGGGTAGCCAGTCTCCCCCTGCAGCTCTGAGACCATTTGGAACTTCAGCTGGGAAGGAGCAAGGCGACAGGTTCCGCCTCAGTCACTCAGCAAGCTTTCACAGGGTGAGGCACTAGATCTGGAGTGTGTGTGCATGCTAAGTCGCTTCAGTCGTGTCCAATCCTTTGCAACCCCATGGAACGTAGCCCACCAGGATCCTCTGTCCATGGGATTCTCCAGGCATGAATACTGGAGTGGGGTGCCATTTCCTTCTCCACTGGACAGGAAGAACACTACAGAAATACTGGGTGTGGTCCTTTCCAGAACTGGAACAGTGCTGTCACATCAACCTGGGTTCAAGTGCCAGCTCCCCCTTTTAACCTGGTCTAACTACTGGACCACCAGGGAACGCCCCACCTTTGCTGTTAGTGTGTGCTTTTGGAAAGTTGCCCAACTTTGCTGAGCCGCGACATGTCCATTCATGAAGCTCGTAGCGTCCCAGAAACTGATTATGAGACTCAAACGGGACAGCCTACATATGAAAAGTTTGGCATTGGGCCTGCGCACATTTTAGCCGCCCCTGCATACTAGCTATTGTTTGTCTTGTTCTAAAGGTCTGATTAACACAGGGTCAGACGGGGAACTTTCAGAATAATTGAGACCCGAGAAAGCCTGGGAGTCTTTTTCTCGCACATTCTGTGCTTAGTGTTCTGGTCCCCACCTGTTTTTTCTGGTAGATAAACACCCGGCCTCCTCTCTGCTCCCCATAGTACAGGGGGGCTGCAATCAGCAACAGCTCTGTCTCCCCATCTCTGTCCATGTCAACGCTACACAGCTCGCCACCAAAATAAGAGCCAACCTGCAAGGAGAGGAAGATGTTTGAGGAAGAAATCCAGAGCCACACACCTCCTTCCTCATCAGCTGCACCACATCCATCCTACTCCAGGCCCTCAAATAAAGGATCCTGAGACAAGCTGGGACCTGCGGCACCCTGTGCTGCAGTGTTGCAATGCTTGCACCTGGACACATCTCTTTGTATTTTGAATAACAAAATACAAAGACTCTGTGTGAGACTAAAAATAACTGTGTATACACCCGCAGTGAGGTCAAATTCTGGACAAATGATTCAAAGAGACCAAAACACCTAACTGTGGCTTTTGAAGAGCCTGGAGCAAAAACAGGGGGTTGGGAGCAAAAGCAGGGGGATTTTGCACATGCCCCCTGCACCCAACACCACCTAAGGAGTGGGCAAACCACCTAAGCCATCCCTCCAGCCTGACCTCTGGATGCATCCCTACCCTCACCTCATAGAAGGAACAAGTATGCCCCCTCTCAGGGAGCAAGCCTGCAAGGGAACCTGTTGTTCTTGATCTGCTCTGCTGCATCAAGGACCCCAATAAAGCCACGCCTGAGTTTCTTGTCTGGCCTCTGATCAATTTCAATTGATGAAGGAGGCCAAGTAGCAATCCAACTTAGAGTCCATATGAATTTAGACAAGCGGGTTCTTTTTGTTTGTTTGTTTAGTTGTAGCCCATGGGCTTAGTTGCTCCATGGCATGTGGGATCTTCCCAGACCAGGGATCGAACCTGTGTCCCCCTGCACTGACAGATTCTAGTCCCCTGTACCACCAAAGAAGTCCAAATTGGGTTCTTAAATTGGCAAGAAAGTGAAAGTGTTATCCACTCAGTAGTGTCCGACTCTTTGCCACCCCATGAACTATAATCTGCCAGGCTCTGCTGTCCTGGGATTTCCCAGGCAAGGATACTGGAGTGGGTAGCCATTACCTTCTCCAAGGGATCTTCCTGACTCAGGGATTGAACCTGGGTCTCCTGCATTGCAGGCAGATTCTTTACCATCTGGGCCACCAGTTCAGTTCAGTTCAGTTGCTCAGTCGTGTCCGACTCTGCCACCCCATGGACTGCAGCATGCCAGGCTTCCCTGTCCATCACCAACTCCCAGAGCTCACTCAAATTCATGTCCATCGAGTCGGTGATGCCATCCAACCATCTCATCCTCTGTCATCCCCTTCTCCTCCTGCCTTCAATCTTTCCCAGCATCAGGGTCTTTTCCAATGAGTCGGTTCTTTGCATCAGGTGCCAAAGTGTTGGAGTTTCAGCTTCAGCATCCGTCCTTCCAACGAATGTTCAGGCTGATTTCCTTTAGGATGGACTGGCTGGATCTCCTTGCAGTCCAAGGGACTCTCAAGAGTTTTCTCCAATACCACAGTTCAAAAGCATCAATTCTTTGGTGCTCAGCTTTCTTTATAGTCCAACTCTCACATCCATACATGACTACTGCAAAAACCACAGCTTTAACTAGATGGACCTTTGTTGGCAAAGTAATGTCTCTGCTTTTTCATATGCTGTGTAGTTTGGTCATAACTTTTCTTTAAAGGAGCAAGCGTCTTTTAATTTCATGGCTGAAGTCACCATCTGCAGTAATTTTGGAGCTCCCATTCCCCCCCCAAAAAGTCTCTCACTGTTTCCATTGTTTCCCCATCTATTTGCCATGAAGTGATGGGACTGGATGATCAGCCACCAGGGAAGCCCCTAAATTGGCAAGAGGGGATGACAAAACACCCCAGAGGCTTTGTGGGGAACTAATGTAACAGTGCTTGGCACAGGGGCAGCACACAACGAGTGAATGAGTGTTCAGAAGACAACAGAGAGCATAACTAGTATCACGCCAGCCCCTCATCGCCTGAAGCCACTGCAGCCACGCTCACCTGGCTCCCGTTTATTTCCTGGATCTGGCTCCAGGGTCCTCCTCCCTTTGGCTGTTGGAACAGCAGCACCCGCCCCACATGCTGGTATCTGGGGGCTCCAGCGGCCAGCAATGACATGGTCCCTCGGGAGGGCAGCCAGGTCACCGTGTAACCTGAGGAGAGAGCGAGCGAGGGGCTTGGAGTCAGAAACCCAAGGGCTGCTGAAAGAAGGTAAAACCCCAGGGGAAACGGTGGTGGAGATCCTGGGAAGCTGGGTTAGCGGCAAAGATGCACTGAGATAGTCGGAAGACCTTCTCCTGAGAAGAGCAGTCATGTACTCTGGGGGGTACAAATCCTGGCGCCATGGTCCAAGACTATTTCTCAAACTGTGGATAACACGCATGCGCAGACAAAGCAGCCACGTGCTACGGGGTAAACATCTCCCGGAGACTCAGTTCACCAGAGGGTTTGTAAAGGAGACGACCTTCTTTTTAAAGAATGAAATAAAATGGGATATATTAGTAAGAAGAAGGTAAAGTTTGCACGAAGGTTAAAAACCAGGCAAGAGAGGCCTCAAGACTGCCAGCCTTGCCCTGTGGATTTCAGACTTGGCAGCGCTCACGCTGCATGACCCAATTTCTTTCTTTCTTTTTTTTTTTTTTAAGAAAAAATATTTATTTATTTTTGGCTGAGCTGGGTCTTCATCGCTTCCCTTGGGCTTATCTCTAGTTGCAGCAAGTCGGGGCTACTCTCTTGTGGTGCAAGGGTTTCTCACTCTGGTAACTTCTCTGTTACAGGCACAGGCTCTAGAACATGGGCTTCAGTAGTTGTGGTGCATGGGCTTAGCTGCCCCACAGCATGTGGAATCTTCCTGAACCCAGGATAGAACCTGTGTCCACCGCACTGGCAAGCAGATTCTTAACCACTGGACCACCAGGGAAGTCTCCAGCTTCTTAAAACCAATCTCTTTATAGATAGAGAGATAAGAAACGAGACAAAAAGAATTATGTATCTATATAAAGATACAGACCTAGATATATCTTGTTGGCTTTGTTTCTCTGGAGACTGCTGACTGCTAAAATAATATACATATGGTATATTATTCTTTGCATATATATGTGTATATATGTAAAGAGAGATAAATCAAAAGTGGCAAATGTTAACTGATAAATTAAGGTGAAAAGTGTATGGGTGTTCACTGTACTGTTAACTTTTCTCAAAAGTTTGAAAATTTTTACATAAAAATTTAACAGAAGAGATTGAAATGAAAAGCTTATACAAATCAATCCGCCTGGAGACATAGCCTAATAAAAATACTGAAATGTAAACTTAAAGAGTTGGGGTAACAGAGAATGAGATGGTTGGATGGCATCTCTGATTCAAAGGACAGGAGTCTGAGCAAACTCCGGGAGATGGTGAAGGCCCCGGAAGCTTGGCATGCTGCAGTCCATGCGGTCCCAAAGAGTCGGACACGACTGAGTGACTGAACAGCAAGCACAAAGAGTAGTGATTGTACAGCACAGAGAATATAGTCAATATTTCATAATAACCATAAATGGAGCGTAATCGATAAAAATTTGAATCGCCATCTTGTATACCTGAAATTAATATATTATTGTAAGTCAACTATACCTCAAGAAAAAAAAAAAAGCAGGCAACATGAAAACATTTCCTGCTTCAAGATATCACGGAGGTTATCTTCATACTTCACAGCTTCTGTGGCGAGGTTTCCTGCCCTCTGTTCCTACTCTGACAAAATGCTGGAGCAAATGCTGCAGGAAATCAGATTAGAGATTGTGTGAGAGCCAAGAGCCGGTTTATCAGAATGCTCTGAAGATGGCTCACTAACCCAACTTGACCTTCTTTGCTTTTTTTTTTTTGCTTATTTTTAAAAATTAACTTATGTTGGAGTATAGTTGATTTACAATATTTTGTTAGTTTCACATATATAGCAAACTGATTCATATACATATATCCACTCTTTTTTAGATTCTTTCCCCACATAGGCCATTACAGAGTATTCAGTAGAGTTCCCTGGACTGTATACTGTATGTACTTCTATTTTATATATAGTAATGTGCATATGTCATTCCCGATCTCTCAGATTATCTCTTCCCTGCATGACCTTCTTTGCTTAGAGCAGTTCAAAGTGAGACAAAGAGATGTCTGAGATTCTATAGCCCAGGAGAGGAAAGGTGAAGAGGCCGAACCACTCTCCTGGTTTCTTCATGTATATTCCTGAAGCACAGGGATTAAGAGCTTGATCTCTGAAATTAGAGAGACTAGGTTTTAATCCAAGTGTTACTTCTTCCTGGCTGTGTAATCTTGAGTAAATTACTTCATGTGTCTGAGCCTCAGTTTTCTCATTAAAAAAAAAATGAGGCAGTACCAATCTTACAGGGTAGTTTTGAGGATTAAATAAGATCATGGATGTAAGATGCTTGGCACCATGCTAGTGAAATATAAACTAAGATCTGAAGGACGGTAGCATAGCAGGCAATCAAGAATATATTTACTTCTACATATATATAAACACACACACAGACATCTATGTGTGTGTGGGGGGTGTGTGTGTACTGTGGGGTGGGTGCCTAACTAGAGATTCAGCTTTGGCATTATTTCTTCTTATTTAGGGAGCCACCTTGCCAACTATTTTACAGTACCGTTGTCCCTAGGAATCCACAGTGGGTTGGTTCTAGGACTTGCCCTAATACCAAAATTCACAGACGCTCAAAGTCCTACGATTGGCCCTTGATATCCCCGACTTTCAAATCTGTGGCTTCAACCAACCTTGGATCATAAACATGGAACCCGCAGCTGCGGAGAGCCAACTGGATACTGAAGCACAAAAAACCTCTTTGAAGGCAGCAGTGTAGGTGCTGTGGGGTAAGTGAAGTGGTTACCAACCATGGACCCTGGGTTCCCCCTACTAGTTCTGTGACCCTGGACAAGTTATTTAAAGTCCCCTGGGCTTGAGACTTTCCTGGTGGTCCAGTGGTTAAGAATCTGCCTTTCAGGGCAGAGGATATGGGTTCAACCTCTGGTCGGGGACCTAAGATCCCAAGTGCCGAGGGGCAGCTCCGCCCATCTGCTGCAACTAGTGAGCTTAGGTGCTCTAGAGCCCAGACACCACAGTTCAAGAAAGCCTGCAGGCTGTAGTGAAGACTCAGCGCAGCCTAAATAAAGAAATAAATAGGCTGGTCCGAAGGTAGTGAGTTATCTCAATTGACTGTTCACAGTCAGTTACAGATCGAACTCCTCGTTCTACTCTTCCCCCTTATCACTACCGCACTTGACTAGTCTAAAAAAAAAAAAAGAAAAGAAATAAATAAAGTCTTCTGGGATCAATTTCTTCACCTGTAAAATAGAGATGATAAAAATACCTACTTACAGGGTTGCTGGGAAGATAAAATGAGGTCAAAGAAGTTAATAGGTGTCACACGCTTAGAACAGTGCCTGGCACAGGATACTTGCACAAAAGAAGAATGTGTGCGTGCTAAGTCGCTTTAGTCATGTCTGACTCTTTGAAACCCCATGGACTGTAGCCCACCAGGTTCCTCTGTCCATGGGATTCTCCAGGCAAGAATACTGGAGTGGGTTGCCATGCCCTCCTCCAGGGGATCTCCTGAACCAGGGATTGAACCGGCATCTCCTGTAGCTCCTGCATTGCAAGCAGATTCTTTACCACTGAGCCACTGGGGAAGCCTTCACAAAAAAAGAATACTTGTCACAAGTACTTGTCAAAAAAAGAAAAGGAAAAAAATCACTGGGGGCAGTCCCCCTTAGAAGGGTAGATGCGTTATGAATAGCACCAATTTTCCCATGGAAAGTATTTAACAAGATCTTTGTGTTCTAAGAGTTTAATAATAATAGTCTTTGTGTTCTGAGCCCACCCCTAGGCAAGGGTCACAGGTGAGGAAGGGAGGAAGGTGTTGGTTCTAGATCTATGAGGATGTAGGACCCGGAAGCAGTCCTATCCCAGGACTCTTGAAGTCAGTTTATGCCTTGAGACTGGTTGAACATGAACTAGAAGGGCTATAACCCTGAGTGCAAGGGCAAGACCCCTCTGTTCCTGAGACTGGCATCACCTTGGATGAACAGCATCCCCAGGACTGTGCAGGACAAGACATCACGAGGCAGAAAGAAGCAACAACACTTGTGGGTTGACCAGATGCATTTCCTCTGTGCTTGGCATCTGGTGAACTCTTGAGACTCAATCAGTCCTGAAGTTCCTGGACCATTCTAGAAGAAGAAACCTTGCAGAGGAGGGGCTGGTCCTCCTATTAGTGAGGTAGATTGTTTTAAACTGTACTCAGGGACTTTCCTGGTGGTCCAGTGGTTAAGAATCCACCTGCCAATGCAGGCGACGTGGGTTCGATCCCTGGTCAGAGAAGATCCTACTTGCCATGGGGCAGCAAAGCCCGTGCACCACAACTACTCAGCCTGAGTGCTCTAGAGCCCATGCTCTGCAAAAAGAGAAGCCACAGTAAAATGTACTCAGGATTTAATGCACAGGTGTGACTGAATGACAGCAGAGAGGTCCGGCCTCCCCGGTGGCTCAGAAGGTAAAGAATCTGCCCGCAATGCAGGAGACTTGGGTTTGATCCCTGGGTCAGGAAGATCCCCTATAGGAGGAAGTGGCAACCCACTCCAGTATTCTTGCCTGGAGAATTCCATGGACAGAGAACCTGGCAGGCTATAGTCCATGGGGTCACAGAGTCATACATGACTGAGTGGCTAACATAGACACACACACACACACACACACACACACACACACACACAAGACTGGGTGGTTTGAAAAACAATGGTAGGCTCTGAGATATAGGGAAGGTCTTCAGTTGTCTCGTACCTGGGCCAGGGATGATTTAGGTCAGGGCGGATACTAGCCTGGTGCATGAAAGTTAGATAAAGGACTGATCAGAGAGCAGGCTCTGGATTGGCTGGTTGGCCAATGAAGGCTTCCTCCCAGGCAAGCAGTTTTCTCTCTGTAGAAATTAACTACCCCTGGGAGGAGCCAGTCTCTCCAGGACTAGCGAGGCCATAAGATGTCAAAGCATCATAAGATGCAGAAAATAAAAATGTGATTAATACCTAGGTGAGAGGTTATTAAGGAAAAAATAAAGACTGTTATGACCATATTTGGGGCTTCCCTGGTAGTTCAGGGGTAAGGGATCGGCCTGCCAATGCAGGAGACTCAGATCCCATCTTTGGGTCGGGAAGATCCCCTGGAGGAGGAAGTGGCAAACCACTTTGGTATTCTTGCCTGAAAAATCCCATGGACAGAGCAGCCTGGTGGGCTACAGTCCACGGGGTCAAAGAGTCAGACATGATGAGCAACTGAACATGCACACACACACAAGGGGTTGTTAAAGAAAAATGAAGACTATTATGACCACATTTAACTAAACTTCTTCATACTGTTGCTTCATTGCTTTCATTATGATTTTGAAAGTCAATGTGAGTGATTCTCTGGTTCCCCAAACCTGAAAGAACCCAGCAGAAAAAAAAGAAGTACTTACCCAAATATCCTGCCCTCGATTCTACTGTCAGTGGTTCATTACCAACAAATGTACTGCTCTCCAGGTCTGCCTTCAGGTCGAGAAAGCCCCCAGCCCAGTCCTTTGCTCCAACGGCCCCCACAACGCCATGGCCCTGCCAAGAGCGGGAGACGAGTGGGATCAGCTTCATTCTCGCCACTTTCCTCTGCTGCTTGCCTCAGGCCCATCACTCACCTCGCTGAGGTCCACGCTGATCCCGCTGGAGGACAGCTCCATGTTGAAGGACGTCAGGTCCTGTTTGCTTGTGCCTGAGGGATGAAGTAGGGAGAATGGACTGAATCTCAACGAGCAGTGATGCTCATGAAAGGACTGAGAAAAAAACACGCAGCATCTACCCATAGGCAAGGTAGAAAGAGCATGAACTTTTTGGGGGGCTGTGTCACACAGTTTATGGGATTTTAGTTCCCCCACCAGGGATCAAACCTGGGGCCCTAGCAGGGAGGGCACCATGTCCTAAACACTGGACCACCAGGGAATTCCCAAGAGCATGGACTTTAGTGTCAGATGGAGAAGCCACTTATGCCCTGAGTCTCCCCTAAGTCTCCATGGGATCCAAATGTGGATATTCTGTTATCCAACTTAGCACATCTAAAAGGCAGCTCTTGATTTCTGTTTCTCCTCAGGCTTCGCCTCTTCAATGAATGCCACTCCTGTCCACCTAGTGACTCATGCTAAAAACCAGGAATCAACCTTGATTCTTCCCTTTTCCTTCTGTTCTGTTTAATTTCTTTTTGACTCTGCCTCAAGGCACATGGTGGAGGAGGCAATGGCAACCCACTCCAGTAGTCTTGCCTGGAAAATCCCATGGACAGAGGAGCCTGGTAGGCTGCAGTCCATGGGGTCACAAACAGTCGGACGCGACTGAAGCGACTTAGCAGCAGCAGCAGCAAGGCACATGGGATCGTAGTTCCCTGACTAGGCATCGAACCCACATCCCCTGCAGTGGAAGCACAGAGTCCTCACTACTGGACTGCCAGGGAAGCCCCTTTGACTTCATTTTTTCCTTTTTCTATGCCTTTTTCCACAGAGCAAGTTAATTCTTTTTTTTTTTTTAATGTGTATCAGATCCCATCTTTCACTTTCTTAAAGCCCTTCACAACTTCACATTGGTCTGAAGACTAAAAATCAAACTCGTTATGAGGAACTGGGATGCCCTCCCTTCCTCTCCAACCTTACTTACTCCTTACAACCTCTCCCTTACTCCCCACATTCATGACACTGACCTTTTCCCCTGTTCCTCCATGTCCATCTCTGCCCTGTCTCTGGGCCTTTGCACTTGACCTTGTTTCTGACTATAATCCTCTTTGTTCACTCTCCTCCCATACCTGTCTTATTCTCATTTTTCATGCCTCAGCTCAAAACTCATCTCTGAGTGAATTTTATCTCAATTAAAAAAAAATAGAAAGCATCTCATAGGAGTTCCCTGGTGGCTTAGTGGTTAGGATTCCAGGCTTTCACTCTGTGACCTGAGTCCAATCTCTGGTCGAGGAACTGAGATCTCACAAGCTGGTCAGTGTGGCCACAAAAAAATCTGTATCTCAGAAAGACCTTTAAAAAGCTTCCTTAATGTGGCTTCTTCCAGCTGAACCTGTATTATCTCTTTATTCATTTCCTTTACAGTGCCTGTCAAATGAGTCGGTTCTTCACATCAAGTGACCAAAGTATTGGAGTTTCAGCTTCAGCATCAGTCCTTCCAATGAATATTCAGGACTGATTTCCCTTAGGATGGACTTGTTTGATCTCCTTGCAGTTCAAGGGACTCTCAAGAGTCTTCTCCAACATCACAGTTCAAAAGCATCAACTCTTCGGCACTCAGCTTTCTTTATAGTCCAACTCTCACATCCATACATGACTACTGCAAAAACCATAGCTTTGACTAGACGGATCTTTGTAGGCAAAGTAATGTATCTGCTTTTCAATATGCTGTCTAGGTTGGAGAAGGAAATGGCAACCCACTTCAGTGTTCTTGCTAGGAGAATCCCAGGGATGGGGGAGCCTGGTGGGTTTCTGTCTATGGGGTCGCACAGAGTCAGACACGACTGAAGAGACTTAGCAGCAGCAGCAGCAGCAGGTTGTCCATAGCTTTTCTTCCAAGGAGCAAGTGTCTTTTAATGTCATGGCTGAAGTCACCATCTGCAGTGATTTTGGAGCCCCCCAAAATAAAGTCTCTCACTGTTTCCATTGTTTTCCCATCTTACTATCTTTCTTTGTATTTATTTGGTTTTGGCTGTGCTGGGTCTTAAGGGCTTTCTCTAGTTGCCACGAATGGGCTTCTCATTACAGTCGCCTCTTCTGTTACAGAGCACAGGCTCTAGAATGCTTGGACTCCGGGGTGCAGCGCCTGTGGGATCCTACTGGATAAGGGATTGAATGCATGTCCCCTGCATTGGCAGGAGGACTTTCAACCACTGGACCACCAGGAAAACCCCCTTTCTTTATTCAACCTGAACATGAGTTCTGAGTTGACACTATCCCTGAGAGTCTGATTCACAGTGCCTGCTCCATGGTTGCTGCCAGCATTAATCAATAAAATGAAAATAATACCACCAGCCTGGCAAGGATACTAAGAAGAATGGATTCAGTGATACAGATAAAGGGCCTGTGACCTATAAGTTTTCAAGAACCATAGCTATTATTATGAAGATGTGTTCATTCACTGAAGAAATATTTACAGTCACTAAATATTTGGTGCCAGGAATACAGTGGTGGAAAAGCAGGCACAATGCTTGCTGAGATAGACATCTCAGTATAGTGTGGGAGACAGACATCTAATAGAGAGTTCTTTCTCTCTTTCAATTTTTTTCAGTCCAAGTTTTTGTGTTTTAAATTTTTATTTATTTATTTGGCTGTGCTGGGTCTTAGCTGTGGCATGCAAACTCTTAGCTGCAGCATATTCCCTGATTAAACCTGGGCCCCCTGCATTCGAAGCACAGAGTTTAAGTCACTGGACCCACAAGGAAGTTCCTATCTGTTTGTTTTTTAATTGAAGTATGGTCGATGCACTTTCTCCAATGATTTTCCAATGTATTCTTTTTTTTTAATGTATTCATTTATTTTTGGCTGTGCTGGGTCTTCATTGTTGTGCAGGCTTTCTCTAGTTGTGATGCTTCTCACTGTTGCAAAGCTTGGGCTCTTGGGCACTTAGGTTTCAGTAGTTGCGGCTGCCAGGCTCTGGAGCACTGGTTCAATAGTTGTGGAGCATGGGCTCTGTGGTATGTGGGATCTTCCCAGACCAGGGATCAAACCTGTCTCCTGCATTGGCAGGCAGATTCTTTACCACTGAGCCATCAGGGAAGCCCTCAATATATTTGTGACTCCATGGCTAGAATTAACAAACTTGAACTTCCCTGACCAGACATCAAACTTATGCCTCCTGCAGTGGAAGCTTGAGGTCTTAACCACTGGCCCCTCCAGAGAAGTCCTAATAGAGAGTTCTAATACGATGTATATCACAGGGGTGTGATGGGGAACAAACAGACAGTGGTTAAAGCAGCACACGGGATCCCAGACTTGGGATCAATGAGAAAGTATCAGAGAAGATGACATTTAAACTATGATCTGAAGGATGAGTGAAGACAGGGGGGATAGAAGATAAGAGCTATGACTTACTTAGAGCCTACAAGCTACCGAGCACTTTCTAAACAGTCATTAGGCTTGAACTGTGTACCTTAAAGAAAATATATTGAAGTCTTAACCCTTAGTACCTCAGAATGTGAACATACTTGAAAACAGGGTCTTTACAGAGGTAATCAAGTTAACAACTTACTGACCAGAGACATAGTTATATGTCTTCTGTTACTCAGACATTATTGACAGGAGTGTTTCAATATTCCCTTATATAACAAATTTCCAGCCACAGGCTTTAGCTTGTGATGTGTTAAAACAAGGTCATTAGGGTGGGCCCTGATCCAATATGACTGGTGTCCTTATTAGAGGGGCAATTTGGACACAGAAGGACAGACACGGAGAAAAGATAATGGGTAGACACACCGGGAGAAGACAGCCAGGCAACTAGAATGATGCAGCTACAAGTCAAGGAATGCCAAGGAATGTTAGCAAACACTGCAAGTTAAAAGAGGTGGGGAGGGGCTAGTGGCTAAGACTCCACACTTTCAATGCAAGGGGACTGGGTTCGACCCCTGGTCAGGGAACTAGACCCCACATGCTGCAACTAAAGATCCTGTGTGCCCCAATGAAGATCAGAGATACTGTGTGCCTCAACTAAGACCCAGCACAGCCAAATTAATTAAATATTTAACTTAAAAAAAAAAAGAGGCAGGGAAGGATTCTCTCCAAAACCATCCCAAGGAGCACGGCCCTGTCAAGCTCATGAGTATTGATTTCTAGGCTCCAGAACTGCAAGACAAAACATTTCTCTTGCTTTAAGCCCCCTCATTTTTGGTGCAGTAGCCCTAGGAAACGAATACAGTGGTTAAACCTTACCACCTTCTGAGATAGATATTACTATCCCCATTTGACAGAGCAACGAGCCTCAGAGACGGAAAGTGACCTGCCTAAGGTTACATAGCACATGCAGAGTGAATTCTGCTTGGTCCCATTATATATAACACATTGCCTCTTCACATGATGTGAACACCAAGGCTGTGTCCTAAGCGAAGAGGCTTCCTGGGGGAATCATGTATCTTTTAGCAGACTAGCCCACTTGGGGAAATACTCTCCCATAGGCAGTGCTCCGTCTGACAAGTACAACCAAACCTTCTCTTACTCTGGGCCAAGAAAGAGGGCCTGTGGGCTCCTTGCCCACGGCCCCTACCTGCTTGCCCATCTCAAATAATTTGAAGCCCAGGATGAAAGACAGTGAGGGAGCTGAGTGATGGAAAAAATTATAGTCATTCTACAGGACACAGCTGACACCAGTAAGACACAGGTCAGCTCGGAACCCTGTCCTGGACCAGGCTGAGCTTCGAGAGGAAGACAGAACTTCAGAGGGAAATAGAGGCTGCTCCTATATCACCCTTCCCTAAGTTCCGACCTGAGGTCTTTTATCCAGAGAACTCTTAGCACAGTGACGCATGCTTTGTGAGTGCCCGTGATTATTATTCCACATGTCTCAAATCTAACGTCCTAGGTGAGGTTCTCTATACAACCCCCAAACCCTCTCTCCCAGGGTCTGCTACTCACCCTCAATGACATAGATCTTTTTTTGCAGTTCAGTGAATAGATCTTTCAGCTTCTCGAATGTGTCCAGGATCTTTACAAACTCCTCCGCAGGTTTGGAGGCAAACTGATGGAGCGCCTCCTGACTTTCCTTGGTCTGAAAATTCTTTCCAATCTGGAAGAAATGAAGAGTGTAGAGCTGGCATATCCAGACTTGCAGAACAATTTTCTACTATTTTCACAAGACCCTGGCCCCAGGGAGAAAGGGAGTGGGGTTCAAGAATAGGAGAGGGAAGACAGGTCCTAAGAAGTAGCAGGGACCTGGGGCCCATACCCCAATGATGTAGCGGATGATGTCTTTGGCCGCATCAATGTTGTGTTCGTCGGTGGCTTCCCCGTCAGTGATGATGATAAGCACTTTGGTGGCATCTGGCCGGGCCCCCAGCTCTTGCCGGAACACTTCTTTCCTGTACCAAGGAAGAGGGGGATGTAAGAGACTCCGGCCCAAATCCTCTGAGGCTCCGCCTCACCATGTTCATTAAGTTACTGCCCTGCTGATGATGACAAATCCCTCTTCACAATCCCCAGGCAGCTACTTCCAGCTCTCAAAAGCTCTCTTCTGAGGCTCCTTCCTCAGCCCAGGTTGCCATTATCTCTCTTCCTGGACCAGTGCTCTTCAACTGAATTCTAGGTAAAAACAAGGTTGTCCCAGAGACTGTGGGCAGTGAGGTGAGACTCTGGGCTTCCTACTCCCCATTTCAACCACATGGCAACTACCCTTTAATCAGTTAGATATGCTGGTGATCTAGGTGAGATTCCAGTGGAAGGATGGGTTCCACAGCCAAAGAACACTGGAAAGGCCCTCTTCTGGAGAAAGCTCATTCAATACCACCTTTGCATCCCTGACCATCACCAGGCTGCCTGTACATCTCTGCAACAGCAAGTTTCCTAGGGAATCAAAGAGACTTGTTTCCACATCAATTTCCCCCATAAAGCATGACCTCCTCGAGGAAAGAGCCATGTTTGTTTTGCTGCTGTATCTCTGGCTCCTGACTCAGAGTAGGTGCTCAGTCATGTGATAGAAGAGAAAGAGGGGAGGACTAAATTCTGGACAGGTCCAGGCTGCAAATTCCTGCCCTGCCCACAGCCTCCTTCAGAAGCAAGACAGGCTGCCCACAACTTCCCCTGGGACAACCACTCTATCTGGACCATCCTCCTCTCCTCACCCCACAGCTAACCAAAGATGGACAATTTATCCAAGAGTGGCCATCCCACCACCCCTGACTTAGGGCATGATCTGCTTTAGGCACAGAAGTGGAAAGTCACCTGGAGAGGCCACAGTGTGAGGTGAAGAGATATGAGGGGAGAATGGGAGAGCTATTAACACTTGCAAGCTGCCAAAGACAGAAGAACCTGATGGGTGGGCTGGATCAAAATCACTTGCTGCCAATATCTCTGGTTCTATCTTGGATGTAAATGTTTCCCCAGCTTCCATGCACCTGGACACGGCCTATCATGGATCCCGTTCAAGGATTCCCACCCTGGTTTAAGTCACCATCATCTCTCTTCTGGATTGTTCAAGAGCCTGCAAACTGGCCTCCCTGCTTCCACCCTTGCCCGTTCCACAGTCTGATCACAACTCTGCAGCTAGAGGGATCCTTTTATTTTATTTTATTTTTTTCCATTTATTTTTATTATTTGGAGGCTAATTACTTCACGACATTTCAGTGGGTTTTGTCATACATTGACATAAGTCAGCCATGGAGTTACATGTATTCCCCATCCCGATCCCCCCTCCCACCTCCCTCTCCACCCGATTCCTCTGGGTCTTCCCAGTGTACCAGGCCTGAGCACTTGTCTCATGCATCCCACCTGGGCTGGTGATCTGTTTCACTATAGATAATAAACATGCTGTTCTTTCGAAACATCTGGAGGGATCCTTTTAAAAACATAAGTCAGATTATCACTCCTCTGTCCAAAATCACCAATGAGAGACTTCCCTGGTGGTCAGGTGGCCTAGACTCTGAGCTCCCAGTGCAGGGGGCCCAGGTTTGATCCCTGGTCAGGGAACTAGACCCCACATGCAACAACTAAGACCTGACACGGCCAAAAATAAGTAAATTTTTTTGGTAATAAAAGATTGTGAGAGCGACATTGAAACATATACATTACTATGTATGAAACAAATAGCTACTAGGAAGTTACTGTATAACTCAGGGAGCTCAGCCCAGTGCTCTGTGAGGACCTAGAGAGGTGGGATGGGGTGGAAGGTGGGAGTGAGGTTCAAGAGGGAGGGAACCTTATGACTGATTCACGTTGCTGTCTGGCAGAAACCAACACGACATTGTAAAGCAATTATCATTCAACTAAAAATAAATAAATAAAAGGACCTGAACTCAAATTGCTCCACTTGAATTCTTACAATAACCTGTTCCCTTGCTGGATCTACCAGTCGAGTTCCTACACCTTGCAACCTGAAGAAGCTAGTAAGACGCAGACTAACCAATGGATGGGATCTTTCCCAAAAGGGAACTCACGCGACATAGTTGATGGCGCCAAAGGTGTTGGTCAACAGACGCATGTGTTTGACTCCAGCCAACAGAGAGTCAGGGTCCTTCTGTCTAATGTAATCCAAGAAAGTAAATTCTGTTTTGAAATCTGTAGAAAACTGAACGGCTGCAAACTAGAAAAAAGAAGGAAGACATGAAACTCTTTACACAGCCCTTCCCACTTATCTGCTCCAATCTCAACTTCTTATCCAAGACCTGGGCAACCCAACTCCACATTCCTGCCTCAAATCGTTCTTTTGAAAATGAGGCTGTATTTAAAAAAAAAGAAGAAGAAAATGAGGTTGCATATAAACAAACACAGAAATAAATACATTTGAATCCCTTATAGAATGCTGTCTGCTGGGCTCCGGTTCTCTGGGTTTGCCCACCTCACCAACAGAGATAGTTTTCCTAGCAGTCGTATTTCTGCTAAGTATGAATATGACCCTGCTAAACTGGATACCACTAACTGGGCCGAAGTTAGCCACTGGACTGAGGCAAGGCCAGTCAAAATCTTTCCTGTGTGAAACTGGAATTTACAGAGGGAGGGGTTGCTTGAGAAGATGATTTAAAAAATAAAAAAAACCCAACAGCCCTCCTATAACTTGAACATGTGACTTTGGGCACTTTCCACCAGCCCACGTGATCCAAAGAAGCTGAGAGCCAGTCTGCAGAGAGAAACAGAAAGAAAGAGAAGAGGGAAGCAAGAGCCAACATGAAACAGAAATAGGAATTAGGGAGAATTCTGGAAGCAAAGGTCCAGTAATAATCATGCCCTTAGGTTATAGAGACACATTGTATTAATACTAGATTTTCCCCTTATGCCTTTAGGTAGCTATTGCCTACCACCAGGAATCCTAACTACTATATTTACCTGGTAGGAAGAGTTGCTCAGTTTCTTCATCACATCCTTCATGAAGTCCACAATTTTCTCAAATTCATCTTGCTGCAAGCTCCTTGAGCCATCAAACAGAAATACCAAGTCTACGTTGCCCTTTATACATTCTACAGAGGTCAGACACGGAGGGACTTGGTAAAGGGTCTCCAGGGGTTGGCCTGCCCATGCTCATTCCCATGAAAGGGCAGCCACTTGGAGGTATTGCTCCCCACTGGGCCCCCCACTCCTTACCCTGATAACCAGGGTGCCCTTGCAGCACCGGACCCCTCAGGTTCTGGTGGATGAGGTAACACAGACCACTTAGATAGATGTTCTGGTCACATGTTCGAGACAGTCCAGGATCACAGGCCTGAAGGAAGCAAAGAGTTTCAAAAAGGTTGAGGTGGGCTTCCCTGGTGGCTCCGGGTGATAAAAAATCCACTAGCCAATGCAGGAGACACGGGTTCAATCCCTGATCCAGGGAAACCTCACAGGCCTCAAAGTAACTAAGCCATGTGCCACAATATTGAGCCTGTGCTCTAGAGCCCAGGAGCCGAAACTACTGAAGGCCATGTGCTCTAGAGCCTGTACTCTGCAACAAGAAAAGGTGCTGTAGTGAAAAGCCTACATGCTACAATTGGAGAGTAGCCCACTCAGCAATGAAGACTCAGCACAGAAATAATAATAATAATAATAAATTAATTAAATTATTAAAAAATAAAACGGGTTGGGGCTTCCTCTTGCTGTGTGTCTTTTGTGCATTATCAACCAAGAACAAAAACCATCACGTCTTTCATGAAGTCCATAATCTTCTGAAATTCATCTTGCTGCAAGCTTCTTGGGCCATCAAACAGAAATACCAAATCTACGTTGCCCTTTAGCATCATTATCCCTCGACTCTCATTCCTTATATCCAACTGGTTACCAAGGCAAGGTAGTTCAGCCTCCAGGTCTCTTGTATCAGTCTCTTCATCCTTACTACCAATGCTATATGCCAGTGGATGCTTGCTGCCTCCAGGATGAAATCTAAACTCCTTAGTTTGGCATTCATGTTGTTTACAGTGGGCACTAATGTACATTTCCAGGCCCATCTGTTTCTATTCCCAATGACACATTCTGTGTTTACACCAAATCAAATGACTCTCTGTTCCTAGAATCTTCAATGCTGCTTCCTTTTTGATGACTATCTTTCCTGCCAGACTGTAATTTTTGAAAGGTCTGGCTCGTGTCATAGTCATCTTTGTATCTCATTCCCATTTCCCCCATCAGAACCCAGTACAGTGCCTGGTGTGTAATCATAGTTAAGTAACCAAACTCCAGTTAAATACAGGATAAATATTGGGTTGGCCAAAATGTTTGTTTGGATTTTTCCATACCGAACCCAAAGGAACTTTTCAGCCAGCCCTTTACTTCACTCACTTAACCTTCTGTCTCTCCTACATCTGGGTCAGAAGGATACTGCTGAGATGAATTGTGAAGAACAATGGATTCCAGCTCAGATAGCAATTTGATTCAAATCCTGGCTCTGCCTCTTTAAAACCGTGTGATCTTGATAAAGTCTTTTAACCCTTTAGGTCCTGTTTCTTCCTGTGTGAAATGTGTATACTGATCCCTATCTCACCTCTGTCCTAAGGATTGGAAGAGATATCACAGGGTTTCTCAAACACATTTGTGTATGAATTCACAATTTCTGCCATATGGGCATATCATACATACTATTATTTATTTAATATTTCATTTAATTAAAATTTATTTTTTAAAAAATTGAGGTGCAGTTGATTTACAATGTTGGGTTAGTTTCTAGAGTACAGCAAAGTGATTCAGTTACATAAATATATATATATGCATTCTTTTTCATATTCTTTTCCATTATGGCTTGTGACAAGATATTGAATATAGTTCCTTGTGTTATATAATAGGACATTGTTGGGAGAGAAGAGATAGGGGAGGAAAGGATTGGGAGTTTGGGATTAGCAAATACAAACTATTATATATAGTTATCCTATATAATGTATATTATACATAGGATAAACAACAAGGTTCTACCGTATAGCACAGGGAACTATATCCAATATCTTGTCATAAGCCATAATGGAAAAGAATATGAAAAACCATGTATAACTGAGTCACTATGTTGTACAGCACAAATTAACACAACATTGTAAATCAGCTAGACTTCAACAGAATTAAAAACAAAACAAAAAAAAAACAGGACTTTGTTGCTTAAAATTTAGTTTTTAAAACTTTAGCCTCATCCTAAGCAATGTAATCCAAGAAATCATGAATTTGAGGGACTTGTTGTATATTTTTTCTAATAAACCATTAAATCAATGTATGACTATTAAAACATTAAAGTTTGGAGAAGGAAATGGCAACCCACTCCAGCGTTCTTGCCTGGGAAATCCCACAGACAGAGGTGCCTGGCAGGCTACAGTCCATGGGGTCACTAAGATCAGACACAACTGGGTGACTAACACACAGACATAGAATTTTTAGGGTATTGAATATACTCTGATACTATATGGATATATATCATTATATGTTTCTCCAAACTCAAAGAGTGTATAACACCAACAGTGAACCCGAAGGTAAACTATGGACTTTGGGTGATTATGATGTGTCCATGTAGGTTCACTTTGGTTTAACAAAAAAAGTACCACTCCGGTGAGTGATGTTGATAATGACAGAGGTTATGTATGTGCAAGCACAGAGGAAATATGAAAAAATAAAAATAAATAAATAAATAAAATGTTTAAGTTGTGTACCACCATAAGTCATCTTGTGTATGAATGGTCACAGATATTTCACATTTGGGAAAAAAAAAACAACTGAGGTAGCTAAGGTCTTAAAAAGAGCTGATAGTTGGGTCTCAATAAATGCTAACTGAATCCAAATCTCTCTGGTGCCTTTAATCTTCCATAGGATCTTTTTTTTTTAATGGAAGAATATTTTGAGCTTCCCTGGTGGCTCAGAGGTTAAAGCATCTGCCTGCAATGTGGGAGACCTGTGTTCGATCCCTGGGTTGGGAAGATCCACTGGAGAAGGAAATGGCAACCCACTCCAGTATTCTTGCCTGGAGAATCCCATGGAGGGAGGAGCCTGGTGGGCTACAGTCCACGGGGTGGCAAAGAGTCGGATACGACTGAGTGACTTCACAAATATTTGCTTTACAGTGTTATGTTAATTTCTTCTGTACAACAAAGTGAATCAGCTCTACGTATACATGGACCTCTTGGACCTCCCTCCCACTCCCCTCACCTCACCCCTCTAGGTCATCACAGAGCACTGAGCTTAACTCCCTGTACTATACAAAAGCTTCCCACTAGCTATCTGTTCTACACACGGCAGTGTATATGTGTCCATTCTAATCTCCCAGTTCGTCCACCCTCCCCTCTCCAATTGTGTCCACACATCCATTCTCTCTGTCTGCGTCTCTATTTCTGACCTGCAAATGGGTTCATCTATATCACTTCTCTAGATTCCACATACATATGTTAATATATGATATTTGTTTTTCTCTTTCTGATTTACTTCACCCTGCATGCAGACTCTAGATCCATCCACATCTCTACAAATGACCCAGTTTCGTCCCTTCTTATGGCTAAGTAATACTCCATTGTAGGGTTTCCCCAGTGGCTCAATGGTAAAGAATCCACCTGCAATGCAGGAGACTTGGGTTTGGTCCCTGGATCAGGAAGATCCCCTGGAAGAAGAAATGGCAACCCATTCCAGTATTCTTGCCTGGAGAATCCCATGAACAGAGGAGCCTGGTGGGCTACAGTCCATGGGGCCGCAAAGAGTCAGACACGACTTAGAGACTAAACAACACCAATATTCCACTGTATATATGTACCACATTTTCTTCATTCATCTGTATAGGATCTTTAATTCACTTTTTTCTTTCTTTTGTCTCCCTTTCCTAGCAAAAGCTTCATAGGTGCTGACATCACACTATACAAAAATCTTACCAAAACGTTGCCACTTGTGGGGTCTGTCGCCAAGGTCATTCCCAAGTACTTGGAGGTATAGTTGGAACCTGTGGGCACCAGAAGATTCACCTGGAGAAACTTAAGCAACGCAGGTGTGATGGGGCCAGCCTCGATTTCCTGAGCACATTCCTCCCAAACCAGTTACTTACTCAGTGTGACTTGCAGACATTCTCCAGTTTCTGGCTGGCATTGATACAGGTTTCCCCTGCTGTTCCCTTCACTTGGAGCTCCCACGACAACCCTGATATGAAATTCCACCTGTGAGATGGAGTTGCCCAGGTCTTTACCCAACCACTCTGACCTATTAAGGGGGTTCAGATCTCCCAAAAGTTTTCTGGAAGCAATTCAGCCACTACCTATCCAGGTGGATGCTAAGCTCCCATCTCTTCCTTATTGGATCCCAGAAAAATAATCCAATATGCCAGAATTCTAGAAAGTTAAGGATCTTTTCCATTGACAGTACAGAAAAACAGGCCCAGAGAATGATCTGCCAGAATGTGACATTGTGGTTTCATTCAATCAACAATCAATTCAAAAGTCATATATGGCTTACCTGCTATGTGCTATGTACTAGAGATAGAGAGGGGATTTGAGAGAGAAACAAAATCTCGTCTAGTTTGGGAGAGAGTCTGGAATGGAGAAAGTGTAGCAAAGCATTTTAGGGGTTGTCATATGTATTCCCTCCTATTTAGGCACTTATAGGGCTTTTTTTTTTTTTTTTTCATTTTTCACGCTGCCATGTGGGATCTTACTTCCCTGACCAGGGATTGAACTCTACCCCCTGAAGTGGAAGCCTGGGGTCCTAACCACTGGACCACCAGGAAGTCCCGGGTTGCTTTAACGATGGATGGTTCTCATCCTACAATTGGATGGCCTTGCTTGGATCCCACCACGAACTCCTCGAAACAGGAAGGTCCTGGTCAGGGCAGGGAGGGCCTGTGGCAACAGCTCACCTGCTTCCAACTTGCAGAACGCGGTACCCAAAATGCCTCCCGGCGAGTGGGAAGGAGAAGTTTTGCACATGTCGAACATCCAGGTTGTAGCTCCAGGCTGGGGCTGAGAGAGACCAGAAGAAGGTCAGCCACTTCCGACCAGGGGCTCTTCCTCACCTCAAAAGCCCCCACAGTGGCGGGCGCTGATCGGCCACCACCCACACGCCCCCAGTGTGGTCAGGCCTCCCACGCCTAGGGCAGGACTAGAAACTGCCCTCCTAGACCTCTCCTGGGGGCCCGGACTGCAGGACATATGGAAACAGCGATTCCTGCTACCCAGAGCTCTAAAGGACACACAACTTCCGACCGGCCTCTCAGCAAAGGAAGGATGAGGAGACGGTGGTGCCTGAGACAGGAGCAATCTGAAGGGGCCCCCGTGGCGATGGGGCTGCTGCAAGGGTTTGCATCTTCTCACACACCCACTTCTCCCTGGGACATGGGGCCCAGTCGCCCTGAAAACTCAGATCATTAGCCTCAGGCTTCTCCCTGTGAAAGTTGGAGATCCCCTGATTCTGTGAGGCTGCCTCCTTGCTCAGGTAACGCTTCCTAACTTCCCCCACCCCCATGGACCAGTCTCTGCTAACCATTAGATCTCAAATTCCGCTATCACCTCCCCAACCTCAGTGATCCTTGGTGTTATCTGAAAGGCCCCAAACTGTCCTTTATCAGCCCTGCTTTCCTTGGGCTTGGGCTTATTCCACACGTCTTAAGATGTCAGAGATGCTGGCCTCATTTATTCAGATGAAGAAACTGAGCCCCAGAAAGAGGGAAGGGACTCGTCCAAGATGACGATCAGAGGTAGAAACATGCATAGAACCAGATCTTAGGCCAGACCCATGTATGCATTAACCATTCCCCCCAAAAGCATGGCACCCCACTCCAGTATCCTTGCCTGGAGAATCCCATGGACAGAGGAGCCTGGCGGGCTACAGTCCATAGGGTCGCACAAAAGTGAAAAAGTGAAGTCGCTAAGTTGTGTCCAACTCCTTGGGGCCCCATGGACTGTAACTCACCAGTCTCCTCTGTCCATGGGATTTTCCAGGCAAGAGTACTGGAGTGGGTTGCCATTTCCCTCTCCAAGGGTCACACAAAGTTGAACACAACTGAAGCGACTTAGCTCGCAGGCACATCCCCTTTTTAAGGGCCCCTCCCCCATCTCTCACTGCTGTGACCTTTTTCTCCCTCGTTTGCCTGAAAATATCTTCAGATCCTGCCCGTAGTTTGTTTGTCTGACTTTCTTTGTTTTCCTTCCCCTCTCTCCAGGATTCCCCTGGCCCCCGCATTACCTATGGCCCACGCCACCCTTAAATCAGCTGCTCATTTACTCTACAAAGTCCTGTTGTTTCCCTCAGCACAGAGGCATGCCCCTTCCCCTCCCCATCTCCCTTGCCTACCAAACAGAAAAGGCCCAGACAGCAGCAATCTCATCACGATGATGCAGAAATTCATCTTTCAAGCCGGCTGGAGGGAGCCAGCCCAGGTATAGTCTCAGAGGGCTCTTGGGATTTACTGGCAACCCGGACTGGGTGAAAGAGGGAAATGATAAAGCCCCAGGGCGTCTTGCAGTGGAACTTTCTCACAGAGGCGCCAGGCTGGTGACGGAGTCCGGGGGAGAGAGGGTTGTGCCTAGGCTGGTTGTGAAACCGCATCATGGGCTTCAGAGAGGAAGTGTTCAGCAGGTTAGACACTTCCTGTGCCTCTTGCATTTTTATATTATCCTGGGGAAGACAGCACAGTCGTGCTGCCCAATAGCTGCGGTGTCTCTGTCCTTCACCAACACAAGAACTTAAGATTCGTTGAAGCTCAGGGGAAGATTGGTCAGATGAACTGTGGTACAACCGTCATGGAATGCTATGTAGCCACAAAAAAGAAGAAGGAAAGAAAAAAATAAGATGGGGGTGGGGGAAAAAGGAAGAGATAGCTTTCCCTTGACACTGAAAGATGCACTGTTGAAGAAAAAAAAAAGCAAGTTAGAGAACAGTGTATTTAATCATTCATTTTGAGTCTAAAAAATAACAACAAAAAACTAATTTCCACAGAATGGGAGATATATGATTTGTAAATCATCTGGTACAGGACTTGTATCCAGAATATATCAAGAACTCTGGTGAGACTTCCCAGGCAGTTCAGTGACTAGGATTCCAAGCTTCTACTGCAGGGGGAGTGGATTTAATTCTTGTTTTGAGGACTAAGAACCCACATGCCGTGAGGTGTGGCTGAAAAAGGGAAGAACAAAACAGAATAAGTGAAGAACTCTTATAGCTCAATGATAAAAAGACAACCCAGTTTTTTAAGTGGACAAAGAATTTTAAGAGACATTTCTCCAAAAACAGTATATAAAATGGCCACTCAGCACATGAAAATGTTCAACGTTATTAGTCACTAGAGAAATGCAAATCAACACTAAAAGATACCACTTCACACCCACAAGGATGGCTAGACTAAAAATGAAAGAAAGAAAAGAACTAAGGGTTTGTGAGAATGTGGAGACATTGGAACCCTTCTACTTTACCAGTGGGAATTTAAACTACTGTGGAAAACAATTTGACAGTTCCTCAGAAAAGTTAAACACAGTTTCCCTGTGACCTAGCAAGTCCTAGGTCTATATCCAAAAGAACTGAAAACACGTGTTTGCAAAAAAACTTATACAGGAATGCTCAAATCAGCATTATTCATATTAACCCAAAATTGGCAACAATGCAAACGTCTACCAACCGATGAATGGGTAAGCAAAATATTGTCTATTTGTACAATGGAATATTACTCAGTCATAAAAAAGAATGCTATGACATCCCCTACATGTGGAATCTAAAAAGAAATGGTACAAATAAACTTAACTGACAAAACAGAAGGAGACTCACAGACTCAGAAAAGGAACTCATGCTGTCCCCTGGGGGCAACTCAAGGGATAGTTAAGGACTTCCGGAGGGTCAAGAACATACTGCTATCTTTGAAATGGATAACCAACAAAGACCTATTGTATAGCACATGGAACTCTGCTCAAGCTTACGTGCCAGCCTGGATGGGAGGGGGTTTGGCAGAGAATGGATACATGTATATGTATGGCTGAGTCCCTTTGCTGTTCACCTGAAACTATCAGAACATTGTTAACCGTCTATACCCCAACACAAAGTGTTTTTGGTGTTAAAAAAAATTTTTTTTAAAAGAATGAAGTAGGTACCTCCCTGGTGGTCCAGTGGTTGACCTTCTGTGCGTCCACTGTAGAGGTCTTGGGTTCAATCCCTGATCGAGGAACGAGGATCCTGTATGTCATGCAATGTGGCTAAAAAAATAAATGAATAAGATAAAAAATAAATTTTAAAAAATTAGGGACTTCCCTGAGGTCCAGTGATTAAGAATCCTCCTTGCAATGCAAAGACCCAAGTTTAATTCCTGGTCTGGGGACTAAGATCCCACTTGCCTCAGAGCAACTAAGTCCAAGCCACAACTACTGAGCCTGCAAGCTCTGGAGCCTGCGAGCTCTGGAGCCTGCGAGTCACAACTAGATAGTCCATGTGCTGCACAACAACAAAAGATCCCCCGTGCCAGAGCGAAGACCCAAGGCAGCTAAATAAATAAATAGACACAAATTGTTGAGCTTAAAAAACAAAGATTTTTAAAAGGATGAAATATTAGTACATGCTTCAACATGGACAAGCCTTGAAAATCATGCTATGTGAAAGAAGTCAGGCACAAAATTTCAGATACTGTATAATTGCACTTAGGTGAAATGTCCAGAACAGGCAAATCTCTAGGGACAGAAAATAGATGACAGATGGTTGCCAGAATTGGGGATTGGAGAAGGGGAGAGATTGCTATTGGGTATAGAGATATTTTTAGAATCAGGAAATGTTCTGAAATTAGTGGTCATGATTGCACAGCTTTGTGAATATATGAGAGAACGGTGAATGGTGTGTGATTTATATCTAAAAAAAGAAAGGAAGGGAGGAAAATGGAAGTTGAAATCATGACTGTGTAGAAAAAACAATAATCTGAAAGGACACAACCAAACTCCAAACAGTGGCTACCTCGGCAGAATACAGATTACATATTTCTGGAAGAAACTTTTTTTTTAACAACAAAGATGTAAAACTTGGGTAGCTTTAATTTTATTTACTCATTGATTTTTGGCTGCACTGGGTCTTCGTCGCTGTGAGGGCTTTTCTCTAGTTGCGGTGAGAGGGACCTACTCTCTAGTTGTGGTACTCAGGCTTCTCATTACAGTGGCTTCTCTTGTTGCGGAGCACAGGCTTAGGGCACGTAGCTCGGTAGTTGTGACTAGTAGGCTCTGGAAAACAGGCTCAGGAGTTGTGGCGCATGGGCTGAGTTCCTCTGAGGCATGTAGGATCTTCCCAGATCAGGGATTGAACCCGTGTCTCTTGCATTGGCAGGCAGATGCTTTACCACTGAGCCACCAGGGAAACCCCAACTTGGGTAATTATATATATATATTAAAAACACAACAGAATAGAGGAAGTGTATTTGTTTATGGGAGAGCAATGGTGCTAAACTTCAGATTATCTTCCTGTTGTGAGATGATCTTGCTCAACCAGTTAAGATCACTTCCAGTATTATTGCCCTGAGGAAGCCTTTTTTGTTTTTTTGGCTGCACCACATGAAGTGGGATTGAACCTGCACCTCCTGTATTGGAAGCATGGAGTCCCAGTCCTAACCAGGGAAGTCCCCTGGGGAAAGCTTTTGCAGGCAGATTACCTGTAATCTACTGCCAAGAAGTTACAATGTGACAAACTAGCTCTTGATAATGAGATGATGTTAAATAGTCTTTTTCAAATTCAGTTAAAATCAGGTAAATTAGACTGATTTTGTCAATTCTCTGTACAGCAGTTCCAATTTACAGCTAACCAAATTCTTTCATTTTTTAATTACAAAAAGAATGCACATTTTAAAATTCAAACATCACAGAAGTATATAAAGTAACAGAATAAAATCTCTAGAATTAACCATGGGCATCACGGACTCAATGAACATACGTTTAAGCAAACTCCAGGAGAAATTAGAAGACAGGGAAGCCTGGCGTGCTACAGTTCATGGTGTCGCAAAGAGTTGGACGTGACTTAGCAACTAAAACATGACAAAACCATTTGGAGTCGTACATTCTTCATGTACGATTATTCTAGTAGTTAAATGCATACAGATTTTATCTGCTTGGAAAAATTATAATTCTCCTCTCGCCACGGAGCATCTGTTGTTTAGTTGCTCAGTCATGTCCAGCTGACTCTTTGCGACCCCATGAATTATAGTTCACCAGGTTCCTCTGTCCATGGGATTCTCTAGGCAAGAATACTGGAGTGGGTTGCCATGCCCTCCTCCAGGGGATCTTCCCAACCCAGGAATGGAACCTATGTCTCCTGCGTTGGCAGTTGGATTCTTTACCAATGAGCCACGAGGGAGGCCCACGGAACATCTAACCCAGAATTAATAGTCAAATTAGCCATCTCCAGTGTGAAGGTTTTCCTATACAATCCAGCAGTCCCCAAACTTTTTGGCACCAGAGACTGGTTTTATGGAAGACAATATTTTCTTGGACAGGGAGTCGGGGGGATGGTGATGGTTTAGAATGATTCAAGAGCATTACATTTATTGTGCACTTATTTCTATTTTTATTACATCAGTGCCATCTCAGATTATCAGGCATTTTAGATCTCAGAGGTTGGGAATCCTTGCTTTACACCAGCTTCAAATTTTAGATGCTTGAGTTAGGGCTTAAGTTTATAGAAACTTTAAGTGTATCAGTAGCAATGAATAGAGCACCTGGGATGAAAGGAATTCCGGAAACAATCTCAAAGTCTCCACTGTTTGGAATATAGTTTATGTGTATGTTTCAGCAGGTGGGTATACTCCTTTGTATATTTGTCACGTTCTGGTTTTCAGTTTGAAAAAAAAAAAGAATCACTTGCTCTCTTCTCCATTGGACCTCTGACTTCCAAGAATGTGGGGGGCTTGCTTATACTTTGTAGCTTCAGGAAGCTACAAATGTCTCCTCAGTGTTCAAACAGACCAAGTATCTAGAGAAAAATGGATGAAACTCACATAGTGTTGGTCATACTTGCACCTCCTTCTAAGGAAGCAGTTTCAGCAGCCAGTTTCTGTTATGTCATCTTGGCTGCATCACATGAACAGTGTGAAACAGATCCTGTTGGCATGGTGATGGCAGATGGGACCTGAGGTCAAGCCCAGGGCAAAGATGGCCATGGATAGATTGGACTCAACAGATGCAGCTCTCTCCAGGATGGCATGGTTGTTCCACTTAAGAATTGTCCCATACAGGACCATGGAAATGAGCTCAAACTTATCACCTCACAGAGGAGTGACAAGTGAGATCTCAGATTGGGAAGTTCCGGGTTACACAAAATCCATGAAACTAAGACTGAACCAGTGGCTTGGATGCCTCAAGCCTCTGTGCCCTCTCTAGGGTAAAATGATTTTCA